GNATCCACGATCGAGCACAAGTTAATTCCGACCAGAAGAACAAGTTCAAATTGCGCTTTTTCAACCACAAACTACTACATGAAGCAGGGAAGTATTCAAGATGAGAGGACGAATATTCGCGAGATGTTGCTTAGAGTTCGCAAAGACAAACAAAATGAAATGGAGTTTATGTTTGGAGACCCGCGTCTCCGTTCAGGGATAGAGAACAAAGTGCCAGCCCCGTTGAGGCGCGTTGGTATTGTCCATTTTTTATTTCACAACATGTTGGTCAACATACATATAAAATTAGAACAAAAAATGGAATAGAAAAGAAATACACCTACCATAGTACCAAATTAAGACCTGCTTATTCAGAACAGGGTTCGGCTATCAGGACGGCAGCGGAATACACCCGAGTATATAACGACCAAGAAAGGGATTACTATATTAAAACCCTCGACGATATTATAAAAGATAAAGCGTACAATTCGTCCACGCCAAGAGTTCTTTGAAGCCGCCGATATTTGTATTGATTCAGCGTTAGTACAAAGTGACAAGATTAAGATAAAAGGATTTACCTTACATGTGAATATTGCAATGACGCTAATAAATGGCTAACGCGACATATATAAAGGACGGAGTTCCTGAAGTATAAGGTACACACTTCTTGCTATTAAAAGAGAGACAGAGATCTTTATATATATTAATAATACTGTATAGTTATTATAATAGTTTATAACCTCATAGAGCTTATATCTAATCAACTTAAGTATTCACTTCTACGGCTTGGATCCCTAGAAATATACTTAATACTTTATTCCTAATATTCCGGATCAAACAATACAAAGGTTCGTAGGACGTTGCTTACGATCAGGGTTAATAAGAGTGGCACCAGTCAGAATGTGAGATGTCACAATATGAGTTGGCTGCAACCAACTCATGAAGGAGATTAGGAAATATATAAAAGAATAGAGTAGATCTGTATATTAGGAAGAGTTTCCATTTAGTAAGGAAAGTCAAGTAAGAAATATATATCAATATATTTAGTGTTGTATTTTAATCAGAGTTATTCATATTAATAACTGTTGTAACCTAAAATGTATGGTTCACACTAATGGGTTTCAAGGTTATGGCAATAAAGGTTATGGCAATAAAGGTTATGGCAGTAAAGGTTATGACAGTAAAGGTTATGACACGTTGCAATTGTTCGATCGCAAATGTCATACTCGACCTTCTAAGTAATTGCCAAATCATATCATAAGAAGTGAAGTGCAAAGGCATCATAATTTATTATCATAAATAAATAATATTAAGATTATGAGATTGGATCTAAACATATAAAAAGGCATGACATTTTGGTACATCTAAAATATTGTTTATCTAAAATATTAATATATATTTATTTAGTTACATTTATAAGACCCTACGGAGAAATAAATATAAATATTATATTAAAAACATCTTGTATCAATCACCAAAATGAATCAATCAGATATTACTTTTACATCTGAACATAACTCGCTCATCCTCTTGTAACAGAGTAGTCTATATAACATAAATAGTTTTATATATCGGAACTGAAAATTTGTTCCTTTTATATATTAGAGAAATCGATACATTCACCTTGTACGAAAAATAGCAATAGTGACATAAACTTTATCCTCGAGTATCCAGGTTAAAGTCACAACAGCTGTAACCCTAACAAGGACATTATATGTTGTGATTATAACATGGACACTCGAGGATAAAGTCTATTTCATTATTACAGTTTTTCGTACAAGGTGAATGTATCGACTTCTCTAATATATAAGAGGAACAAATTCTAAGTTCCAATGTATAAAACTATCTATGTTACATAGACTACTCTGTTACATGAGGGGAAACGAGTTACCACTCACTGACCTCAGTAATAGGTCAACATGCCTATTTTACTTATTTCTACTCTCATTAAAGCTTAAGCTCTTGCCATTCTGACAATCTGGTGTATTAAAATATATAATATACACATAAGAATATATTTAATATGATAAATATCAATTTAAATCTTATCATCTCTTATATACAGTATTGAAAAAGTTTTAGCTTCAGAAAGAACAATTTCTCGCAGAGTAACATTTCTTTATCCCCTACCACTAATGTTGTGATGAGTATAGCTTATTCGTTACCTCATAATTCAGACAAAAATTTATGATTCTGATAGAACTACCACCAATTATAGCATTACTTCTATCTGTCAGATTTATACCATAATAGATAATCAATCGTTGCATTGAGTTGTGAAAAACTTAAACTGACATCAATGATTTTTTATATTCACGACTAAACCTAATCTGACACTCTGATAATTTACATTTCAAATCTTACTGGAATTTGAAATGTTATTAACAACGAGACAGAGTAAAGTGGTGAACGTACTTAGTATTGTATTCATCCTTAGAAAAACAGATATTTCTTGAGTCCCAAGTATTTTAAAAACGTGGGTTGAACATTAATCATTATAAATCTAAAACATATCAAAAGTTTTCGATCATATTTGGCATGTAAATATGAACTAACTTACTACATATAATGTGTTCTTTAATCTTTTAGAAGATAGTTAGGGGAGAGGCGGAAATCTTTCTGACATACTAATAATATAACTACTGAATAAAGAAATACAATGGGTTCTCAAAACAAGATCCTGATACTACTGTTTAGTATTTCATTCATTAGAATAAAATTTTTTTACAACTCATTTAAATCTTTGCTTCGTAATTTCATCCACTGTTTAGGAGTGATTTCACAGATAGTTTATATTATCAGTTCTTTATCATTCTATAAAGTAACTACTAATTAAAATAATACAATTGATTTATTGTTCATTATAGTAATCTCGTGCCTTTCTCAAATCGGGCTCTTAATAAATATATCATGGGAAGAAACACGAAAATACACTTCAATAACCTATCAAAGAGTTTGAGGAGTACAATAGCAAACATAATTTAAAAAGCCAGAATTAGTAGAAAACAAAAAAGTTCAAAATATACATGTATTCTCTTTAAGAAGAATTAAAACGAAAGATGATTAATGAATAAAAATATTTATACATGACATTTACACGGTATTGAAAAGTGCTTTATTTTTAACCTACATGTATGTTCAAAACCATTAAAGATCGAATCTCTAAATATGCAAATCTTTCCAATGAAATGGAAACTACCTCTATTATCGATAATCTAATTTTACCATTAAGGTTTAGATCCACTCTAAGAATGTTGCTTCTTTTTTGTAGCTTCGGCTACAAGTTCTTCAAATACTTGTGCCTCTTCTTGTTCAGCTTTTGTTCTATAAGCCCTTTGGAAAACTTTACCTAGTAATTTCAATGATTCAGCTCTTTTAACAAGGGTGCCTTTATCAACAGTATTATCTTCCAATACTTTATCACAAACAGCTCTTAGAGTTGACATGATTTCAAATTTTGATCCGTGCCAAGCTGCAGAAAGCACTTTACCCATTAGCAAATGTTCTTGTTCTGCCAACTCTTCGGCAGTCGGCTTTGGTTCTTCCTTACCATGTTTGTCAACTAACGGTTCATCAGATTCTGTTGCCAATTTCATTCTTTCTAATTCCTTCATAGTGTGTTGAGCATCAATGGCCGCGGAAACTGTTCTCAAAGTATCCATTACGACACCACCTTTGGCCTTCATCGATTGGAACATACCACCAAAACCGAATAAATTTTGAGAACCTAAAAATATTCTTGCTCTTTCACAATAAGCATCACCAATTGTATGTAAAATATCTAGACCAAATGATTCCATTTTTAATAAATTTGCTTCTTCTTCAAATTTTTTTTCAAAGGACATTTTACAATCTTCATCATATGCACTTTCTGTCAAAATCGATAATTTTTCAATTAAAGTTTGTTTCAGTTTTTCAACAGTTTTGTCCTTCTCTAATTGCTGTTCTTCTTCAAATTGTTCCATCTTTGTCTTTTTCTTAGGCTCATCTTTTTTAACTTCTGAGTCGTTTTTAACATCTGTACTTACAGAAAATGTAGATGAATCTTTGTTCTCTTTAGCCTCTTTCTCCTTCTTTTGCTTCTCTTCTTCTTCTCTTTGTTTTTCTGCTTCATCTTCAGCGTTTAGTTCTTCTGTTTTTTGTAAATTTTTTAACAGAGTTAATTCACCAATATATGGTATAAAAGCTTCACCACCAAAAATTGCAGAAAATTGTTCTGCTGCATCTTCAAAACCACCCTTTGGGATTGCCTTTTCTTTACCAAACTTATCATAATTTGCTCGAAGATTTTTATCACTTAGGACTTGGTATGCTTCTGATATGGCTTGGAATCTTTCTGTAGCTGTTGGATCATTAGGATTTTTATCAGGATGTTCTTTAATAGATTTTTTACGATATGCTTTTTTAATTTCTATAGCGGTAGCTGTGATATCGATATCCAATAAATCATAGTATTCTGTATCAACCACCATGATGAATATACAAGTGTATTAAATGAATGATAATAATTGGAATGTGTCAAAAGATAAAAAGTTAAAGATATTAACTGATAATATAATTTGAAAGTGGGATCTTCTGATTAAGATGTAGGCGGGAAACTAATGGAAATTAAATGAATTAGGTAGTTGAAAAAACACCTAAAAGGGGAGTACAACAAATAAGAAGTAACACAAATGGAATATGAATTGAAGAACCTTCTAAAAACTGACAAATTGACAATTAAAATCCAATTCAAAATAGAGTGTAGCAGGAAATCTCTTACTTTAAATGGATTTTTTTATATTATCCTAACAGAAACTCAAAAATGAAAACGATAAATTAAATCAAATCAAGTTAAGTTACTGCTGATCAAATAGAAAAGGAAGTAAGCAAAAAAAAAAAGTCAATTGTTGTGATTTAAAATTGGTAAATAAAATACTCTTGATGACAACAAAAATAATTTATGGGAAAAAGAGCAAAATAGGAAAACAAAAATGTACAAATTATATGAATATCTTGTAAAATTAATATATAGAAATACCACTTGGAAATCAATCAATGAATTTGGTAATGTGATGATAAGTTCTTTCCAATTAATGTCTCTTTTAGCTTTCCAGTAAACAAAAAATCAGCTTTTCTCAAAAATAACACCTAAAACAATATAGATATAAATAAAAAGACTATTAATCAATCTATATGGAATGGGAATGGAAATGGAAATGGGAATAGAATGGAGTATATTTCTGGTGTTAATCTAATATACGATGGATGGGTTAATGTAAGGATGAATGAGTGTTTTTTCGTAAGCTATATATATCTACCCAATGTCCTGTAAGATCAACTTAAAAATTGAGATAAATATTTAGATTTCTTGTTTTAAAGATGAGATTTCACAAGATGGCTTAGATTTGATAGAGTTTGGATATCACGATCCAATTCCAAATTCCAAATACCAAAAACCAAATTCCATATCCAAAAAATCAAAAAAAAAAAAAAAAAAAAAAATCAAACTCAAAATATTCTAAATGTATGTATAGTATGCTATTGCAATGGTAATGGTGATGATAATGGTAATGGAATTGGAATTGTAATGCGAATAACAGTTACAGTAGAGAACGTTTGAAAATGAAGAAGACATGTGATTTAGACTTCACGAACAGCCGGGTAACATTCAGTAGTAGCAAGAACCCAACATACAAGACAAGAATTATGGTGCTCCAGTAGAACTTGTCAGACCTCTGGTTTTTTAAAATAGACTCAAATAAAATAATGACTTGTTTCATTCCTGGCTTATCAATACATGTATAATTATATATAATATATATATATATACAAATATAGTAAATTAAATTAAATGTAGGAGAAAAAAAAGAAATTTCAGAGATATCTCTTTGTGAAGAAGGAAACCAAGTCATAGACATTGGTGATGATGATGATGATTATTATTATTATTATTATAATGATTATGGAATTGATTCTTTAAATCAAGACGAATCCAGCGGTTAACTTTTAACTTTTAACTTTATCGGATTGTACGCTTATCTAAGCAGAATAATTCAAACGGAAGATATCATTGAATACATAGTAAGAATTACCATCTGGGATCAAATGGAAAACTTGAGAAAAACGTTGTGGGTTTTGTTCATCATCAATTAATAGATCACCTGTAATCATGACCAAGACGTCACCATTTGGAGAAGCAGGTTGAGCATCTAAAGTGGTAATTCTATGGGAAACTTTTTGGAAAGGTAAAGAGACTAATTTTTCGACGATATTTTTAGCACCTTGCAATTGAGTAGTTTCAAAAGTTAACATCGATTCATCTCTGTATAAGTTACCCAATTGAGATCTATCAGTGTCGAATTGATTGTAGTAAAAATCAGTAAATTGTTGAGCCAAACCGTTGAAATCCATAGACATTGTGTTAGTTGTGTGTTATAAAGATGAGTGAATGGGGATGGTATTGTATTCTTGCTATTAGATGAACAGTCGAGAAGTAGTACAACAGAGCAATGCTTTGATTAGAATATAATACAAGTCAAGAAATAAGAGATAGGAAGATAAGATGATTATGATATTCATCAATTAGGCAATTGATGAATAAAGAAAGGATCAAACACACATTCGAGTGAGTATAGTAATAGTCTAGTCTAGCAACCAGTCGATAATAGAATAGGATGGAATAGGATAGATCCCTAAACTGTATTTGACAATAATATCATCACAACTAAGACGATTTGGATGGTAAAATGAGGAATTGTTGATGTAAAAGTGAAATTGAATCTGTTTCTTTCTTTCTTTCTTTGTCTTTTTGTCTTTGGTCTTTGTCTTTTTCCACAATTACATCACCATCACATACAACGAACTGGTGGAACGGAAAAAAGGCGAAAGCCGTACCAAAAAATATCAAACCAACTCGTAAAAAGTAGAGTGATGGCACTGCCACGTGACAGAAAGGAGAGTTCAGGATACGATTTATCAAAGGAATTTGATTTGAATTTGAGATTAATATATATATATATATATATATTAATATTGCTGAGTTGTCTTGTAGCACAATTGATGAACAACGGACAAAGTAAGGGTCCTTTATTTAATGCTGAATGAAGAAAAACAGGCAAAATAACAAAGCACGTAACTGAAGAACGTATCTCCAGTGTCATGTGATCAAACATGCAAAAGCAATGTGAAGAGAGGGTAACCATGCTCTTTTTCTTCTTTTTTTTTTTTTCTTCATTTGTCCTTCCCACTTCCCGCTTCCCACTTCGGTTCGGTTCGGTTCGGTTCGGTTCGAAAGTGAAAAAAAATAGACCACACACAGACAGACACACAGAAACACAGACAAAAATGGAAAAACACACAAAAAAAAAAAAAAAATAAAATTTAAAAGAAGAAAAAACAAAAATCTTTAGTATATAAACCGAACTGATAGATTTAAGCTCATCTTTTTTTATTTTATTGTACCTGTCTAGTTTTTATTTTTATCTATCTTTGTTGAATTTTAGACTTTTTCATTTTAAAAGAGACCATCCTTATGCATGGGAAATACACATTTCAGTGAGGATTCGTCCGAGATTGTGTTTTTGCTGGTTGAAATTTAAATTTAATTTTAACCTGACCCTTCTCCTCATAGTCAACTATTATAATGGATATTCGCTTTATTGAATATCTTTTAAAAGACAATGTAGGGAATTTTTGGACTCTTTATTTCTTTCCATCTTCATTCTTTGTTCCTTTTTTCTTCTATGTTTTTCATTTTTTTAATTAATTAATTGAAATTAACAAACAAGCAAGCGAGCAAACAAAGAATAAGACTAGGATGCAGCACACACCAATATCAGTTGGCCTTTTGATTTGAACTCGATTCCACTGTTTAGTTCCCAGTCTAATCAAGTTCAAATTAAATTAGATTTCCTTCTGTTTCACTTTGGATTAGTTTTTGAGTAGTTGCCTTAACCACTCACTAAAAAATTTTTTTTCAAAATAAATTTATTTTCAATTCTTTTCCAAATCCATCATATTATTATATATTGGAATTCACTGTGAGTTCACAATGAAAGTATTGAATAGCTAATTTATCTTTCCCTTCATGTATACGTAACTTGATTGACAAATTAAGCCCTTCTTCCAATAACGAATTCTAATTCTAATTCTAATTCTTTAACCTCTTGAATGATATTATCCATCCTCAAAATTAGTTTCAACTCAATCGTTCTTGCCTGTACTAGAGATTTTAAATTCTTGATGTTTTTATTTAGTGACATTTCTAATAATTCGTCTCCCAATGTTATTACCAAATAGGTAACACTTCATCTTTTTTCTTCACGGAAAAATTTATATCAGAAAATAAATGGAAAAGTTTAAAAAGCACAATTCTAATCAAACAAACACATAAATAATATTTACCATTGTGATTTCATAGTCCACATCCTGCAAACAAAGAACTATATCAAACACATCATGTTTAAAAAGTATGTGTAATACAATTTTTTCTGTGCATTTTATATGGGCAGAATCATTTTTTTAAGCTTTTATGAATCAAACTCAATTTACAGACTTATTCAAGTCGTGTGTTTAAATTTATCTATCATGCTTTTACTAACCATTTAACAACCATTCGTCTCGGAAAATATTTAGATTCTCTAAAGAAGATATCCATTCAAGATCTAAGGTCAAGTCTTCCATCCAAAGGACCTTGAAATCAAAACTTGTTAGTCAATACCCTCAATTAGAAGAAGTAATTGACGAGCTAATTCCAAAGAAAAGTCAAATTGAATTGATAAAATGTGAAGATAAGATTCAATTGTATACTGTTGATGGTGAAGTTTATTTCTTCCAAAAATTTGACGAACTTATCCCAAGTTTGAAATTCGTACACAAATTCCCACAAGCATATCCTACAATTCAAGTTGATAGAGGTGCAATTAAATTTGTTTTGTCCGGTGCTAATATCATGTGTCCAGGGTTAACATCCGTTGGTGGTAAATTGCCAGATGCTCCAGGTTTTGAAAAGGATTCCTTCGTTATTATTAATGCTGAAAACAAGGAAAACGCCTTAGCTATAGGTAAATTAATGATGAGCACTGAAGAAATTAAATCAATCAACAAGGGTCATGGTGTTGAAATGATTCATCACTTGGGTGATCCATTGTGGGATTTCAATCTTGACTAGAAATATCTTAGAAAGATTCAATGTATCTATGTACAATAAGAATAATAATTTAATGCATACTTAAATAATTTATTTTATTCCTGATATTATGGAATTGCTTATTTAACTCCATCGCTAGTTAGTTTTATACAAAGTTCATCATTATCATCAAGTTGATAGTCGGATATAGGACTAAAATCCCTGTCTAAAAGGTCTACCTTTGTCAATCCTCTCGGTACAAATAACTCTGTGTCGAGTATGCTGGAATTTAAATGATTACATATTATAGATTTAACATATCGAACAGACCATGTGCGTAGAATGCACACCGACATTTTTTCCCCAGATTCAGGTTCCAGGACTGTAAGTTTGATTAGATTATCATCCAGCCATGAATTTATCCTTTTTTGGGGGCTGCATTTTAGACCATATCTATTTTCTAGCCTTTTATATCTGACCAGACTCCTATCGTAATATGTTTCACCTGAGGATACTTTTGTCATGAAATAAGTTTCAGCCTCCTCTCTTAAGGGTTTGTCTATCGTTGAACCGTTCAAAGTGGAAACCTTATCAAACCTGGAAATTGTCTCGTAAAATACAGATTCACTACTGTCAATTGCGTCAGATAATGGGTTGTTGCCAATTCTGAGGGATTTCAGTCTAGGAAAACCCACATTCAGAGTATCTAGATCCTCCCAATTTTTAAGGTAGTTGTGAGATATGTCCAATTCTTCAATGAACTCATTCCTTAACATTTTGTCTGTGCTTGTAAACAAATTGTGAGATATTTTTATCGTCTTTAGTCTCCAATTGACAAAATTTGGGGATAACGAATCAATTGAATTGCCGCTGATATTTAGTTCCTGTAGAGAGTCCGGGAGTTTTATATTTATTTTACTAATATCTGAAAGACAATTAGAATTGAGATTTAATGTTTCTAAGTTTGGAAATACAGCAAAAATAGTTCGCAGGTTTTGTGAAGTTAGTCTACAGGATCCCATATTTAAATGCCTTACATTTTTTATTTCAACTTTGCTCTTATCACATATCTCCCAACCGCTCGTGAATATATTACCTGTTAAATCCAAAATTTCCACCTTCTCTATACATTGTAATAGGCGAATTGTTTCTCTAAAGTTTGATAACAGATTGTATGAAAGATCAAGGTCAATGATATTGACGGCCAGCTGTTTGATATTATCTTGTTCGTTTTCTTCTAAGCGATCACCAACTTTACAGCGGCTAAGAGAAACTCTTTTTAACTCTCTAAATTCTCTGTTTCTGATACCTAGTTTTTCAAAACCAAACGATTCAACCTTCTTTGTGCCCAGCTTGAAGTTACCAACATCATTGAGAATATCCCCATATCTAGCCTTAAGAGCTGTGACAAAACTCTGAGCTGGCTGCACAGAATCAAGAAATTTGCTTTCTTTAATGAAGGATCCAGAATTTGCAACTTCTGTTCTAAAGTAACGTCTGCCACCAACAGTCCCAGAGTGTTTACCTCGACTTGTATTATCCCATTCGACTCCATAGGCAACTATGCCAGGCCATGCATCGATCTCACCAACATATCGTATAGTACATAACTCATCTGAAATACATAGTCGAGAACCAACTGTGTACATGTTGTAGATGATGCATAAGTTCCTTTTCAACTGCCAGCTTGGCCCTATGTGGTCTTTGTTGTTAGTGTTAACAATTGATGAATCTTCTTAAAGGTTCATTTCATCAACTTAACTTTCTCGCCTATCGCCTTCACTCAAAGTACTCGATTGATGATCGAACAGAATGAAATATGTAATTTGCAGTTATATACATCCAGTTCGAATAGTTAGTTTATCTCTTAAATTACAATGCTATTTATTATAATAATATCCCTAAATGTACATATTTACCTAATTCATTTCAGCGTCTTCGTCCTTCGATTTTGAAATGGCATTGTCTAAGGATGCAAATAATCCATCCAGATCAAACTCTTTGGACCATTCTGATACAATGGTAGTTTGTTCGGTTTTAGTTGGCTCTGGTGTAGCACCGGTGCTGATGGTAGATTTTTGATTGGAATTAGTGGTAGCTTCCTTGGAAGCCTTTGGTAACACCCAACCAAGGAATTTCCCATCTCTCCAGTCGTTCAGCACAGAAATACCTGCACTACTTAGATTTGGAACACCACCTTTGCTCAATCTTCCTCTCTTACGAGCAACGTGGATTAAAAAGTGCTTTGTAAAAGTTTCAGCATCATTTGCTGGAATTGGTGGAATTTCAAAAAACTTCTTAAAACTTTCACTCATTTCATCTGACTTTGACAATCTCTTAACCAACATTAGAACTGCTGGATATGGATCTATGATATGTTTTGCTGGTAGCGCATTCAAAAGAGCTAACTCAGCTTCTTGCTCAACCTTGGTCTTCTTTGTGCTTTCACTTGGGAAACAAATACCTGGTGAATCTAAAATCTTCAATTTGTTATCAATCTTGACTTCTCTCATACTAGTAGTGACACCAGCTTGGTTACCGACTGGACATGCTTTTGAAGAACCACCACGACGAGTGGTCAAGGCATTGATCACAGAAGACTTACCAACATTTGGATAACCAATCACACCTACAACGATTGATCTCTTTAAATTGCTGTTGTTAGAATAAGTTTTTAATGCATCCAGCAAAGCACTAGCAGTCATAGTTTGAGTTAATTTCTTGTTGAAAGAGGTATTGTTAGTGGCACCCGAAGCAGCCTTTAAAGGAATAGTTGGAAAACTTGACTTTAATACATTTAGCCATTGTTCTAACACAAATGGGGGTACTAAATCAACCTTGTTCAAAATTAAAATCAATCTCTTACCTTGACTTTGGAGAACTGCCTCTTCTACTCTTTTAGATCTAGTTCCTTCTGGGTCCCTGGCATCCAAAACATATAAGATTACATCTGAAGCATCTACCACAGTTTTAAAAATCTTGTCGTATGCTTTTCTTGATTGTTCTAATTCAGTGTCACCTTCTTCAGATCCTGCAAAGAAATCGATGTCATGATCAACAATATCTAGATCACCTTCAGTGCCAAAAGCCTGGCCATTATCGCCTTCGTAAGCCATAGCCGCCTGTTGGGCTGATTCCATCAATGCAGTCAAACCATTACCAGCATCCTCCTCTTCTTCTAAGTCAGCATCCATATCTAATTCCCCAAGTTCTTGTGCTCTTCTCTTGGCTTCCATCCTTTGTTGTTTAGCTAATTCCTTTTCTTCGAGATCCTTCAACTTCTTGGCTTCAATCTCTTCTAAAATCTTGGCCTTATAAGGAAAACTGGCTGGAATACCAGGGTCCTTCTTGGCTCTAGACTTCCATGTTGGGTCTTTCTTGGCCAATTTTTTTTCTTTTCTATTTTGAGCAGCAGCCTTCTTCTTAATACCTTCCCTCATACGGGTAGAGGTTCTTCTCGAGGTTCTCTTTCTTACTCTCATTATACTTTGGGTATTTTAACCTATTGATATTCTATGTGGTAGCAATCATATAACTTAAAAACACTATGCAGTCAAACAATCATTCTTTATATTAGCTCTTAGATAAACTATTTAGTCTCAAGCTCATCGCATCTCATCGCTTTAAAATTTGGATATTAAAAATTTTCATCTCGAATTTTATTCATGATCTTGAAAGCGCTATCAAATAAACTCTAAAAGTGTAAGAACCGTATGTACATAAAATTAATGAACACATACAGATATCTTAAAAGATATTAATTTACTAATGCAGGTTCTTAAATTCTAACGATATTATTAAGTTGGATTAATTAACAATATTATTTATATTATACAGGTATAAAATGATATTCTAATTTGGTACAATTTAGCATTTGGAATGAAGTTCGATATGATATATTTATGCAATACCATGTTTTAGTTTCCATTTTGTGATCCTCTTTTTCAAGTCACCTTGGCTCTGCTGGTATATATTTAACTTTTTGTCAAAGAACATTTTTCTATAATTGTCTCCATGTTTTTTATACAGACTTTCAAGCCAAGCATCCTCTCTGTCACTTTGATATCTTTCCTTCTTTAGTACAGGTCTACTTGCAAACTCTTCTAGTTTTCTAACTACCTCTGTCTTCTTCTCGGAATTTGAATCTACTAATTTCTTAAGTTCTGAAACATCTTGATCAACATCAAACGCTTTCATTTTACCATAAACAATCTTTAAGACATTGCCATTTGCATTACGAACTATTCTGCCTTCACCTTCTGGTATTTTATTGACATCATATTCACCATCACTATTTAATTCGTCTTCATTCACTTCATCGTCTGAACTCTCTTCTTGTTCCTCATCATCATTTTTGAAATATGATGAATGCGTTAAAGGCTCTTTCCTAACAATCTTATCATAATTAGCTTCTTGACCACCTGCAGGTGTTTGTAATTTAGCTCTTAGACCCAGTTTCTTATAGTTCTGAGCTAATGTCAAAGAGTAATCCCAGTTTTCTGCAATGATTGGATTTGATCTAATATTAATCTTTCTTTGCTTATCTTTATTTCTTCTAGTTGCCTTCCCTATGGAAGATTTATTCATTTTTCTCTTTCTCACAGAAGTCATCTTTCAAAGAATATCGTCACAGACCAGTTAGTTCTCTATTTTAATAGTATTACCAATCTTACTCATTTGTCTAGTTCATTTAACTGTCCTTTCTTAAATATACCAACTAAACTTATAGTCTGTAGTCTATAAGAAAGATGCCTCTCTGCCATCTCATCGCCCAAAAATTTTTCAAAATTTCCATTCCCGCTACTTAAATTCATTATCACGTGATTGTAGAATAAAAATTGATTTTGACATTTTTATGTTAGATTAAGAGAATAATTACAACAACTTTCCTTACCCTTGTTAAGACCAAAATCATGATACTTATTAAAATTTAATGATGTTTTATAAGTGGAAGGTTTGATAGTGTTTTCACGTTATTTATTTAGTCTTTAGAAAAGATAATTGGACTTTTAGGAAATTAGAAGATTCTATTATTATATTTAAATTACTTCATCAAGATTTATAAATGTCACATCAAAATATAGCTATTGATCAAAATAATAATAGTAGCAAGCGAAAGGACTCTGATCAAAAATCCATATTTGTATCGAATATTTCATTGGAGATAACACCAGAAGTAATTGATGAACTGTTTCGCAATTGTGGTGATATACAGAGGATTACAATTTTATATGATAAAAATACTCACTCCAACAAAGGAGGACATGCGTACGTAGAATTTGATTCCGTACGTTCCAAGGAAAATGCATTAGAATTAAATGGGATAATTCATGAAGGACGAAAATTAATTATAAGACCTAAAAGAACTAATATTCCTAGATTCCAAAGGGTTAACTCTAAATACTTGACCGATGAACTCCAATAATGAATTAAAATAAATTGCAATCTCTGAGAAAGATCCATCTTAGTACAATACTAATTAATAATATAATTTAACCAGGTATGCAAAAGATATTCTCATTTCTAAAATTTTGCAAATGTAAGCTTAAATGCTTTTGCACAAATATAGCATATATAATGTATAGATAGGCATTAACATGAAAATATTTATACTTTTTCTCAAACCATAAACTTTGTTCGGAAATCTGATATATATATATATTCTTTTATATTATTATTTTAGTTTTATTTGAAATTTTTAATAGAAATAATATATTTTGTTTATTTAGTCAGGTGATAATATAAATAGATTTTCCTGGATCGACACCAAATTGCTGACCTGGCGTATTGTATTTTATTTTGAAATAAAAAGGAAAGGAATTGAGAATCTTGATATTTGAACAAGTAATTAAACAATCTACATATAAAAGATATATCCATAAAACCCAAGAGTTATCATAAATATGAAATTGTTGTTCTTCATCTGGTTTGCTATTTTCAGCAAGGTTTTTGGTATTTCTGAAGAGGTTGCTGAAGCTGCAGACGTTGTTTCAGAAGATCTTAAGGAAGATTTTGATGTTGAAGAATCTCCTGTTCAACAATATGTTAATCTAAATGTCACATATTCAATTGTTGAAAGACCAGGTTTAAATCTAACTGATTTGTTTGAATTTGTCCCAGAAGAAACATTAACTTTGAACTACAATCTTTACAATGGTGAAAATTCTTCAGTAAGTGTGGTTGGTGTTTCTGGTAATGTCTATACATTTCCAGATGGGTACTATGCTGCTAACATCACTGAATCAAGTATTGAACCATTAGAAGTCATGTTTAATAGATCTGCTATATTCCAACAAGAAGTTAGGTTGGTCTTACCAGAAGGTAGATATTATTTGGAACCAGTGTTGATTGTCGAAAAGGATGAAAAACTAATGAGAGTTGCTGTTCAACCAGTTACAGTTGAAATTGCACCATTACCATTATCTATCTTCAATCCACAATTCTTATCCATTATTGTTACTCTTGGGGCCTTGGTAGGTGGTGCTTTTTATTATTTGGTTTATTTGAAAGCATCAACTAAAGAAACCAAGGGTAAGTCAAAAACAGTTAAGGTCGATGAAACATGGTTGCCTGATACATACAAAAAATAAATTGGTTTTGAAATCAGGTAGTCTTTTCTAGTAATTAATACTAAATATGTTTATATAGAGATATATTTGTATGTTTAATATTCATATGTATATCCATACAATTAGATTATGATGATACATTTCAGAAGTCTAACCTATTACTCTAAGGTGAAAAGGGGAGCATTTTATCATATAATGTAAGTTAGTTGTTCTTAGGCATTTAGATGCAATATATGCAAAACTTGGTCAATTAAATCAAGATCTTTTCTGTAGTCTAATATACCGGCCGATTGAAGTTCTCTAATATCATCAACAGTTTCATAATATTGGATGTCATCGGGTTCTAATGAGTACTTTTCAAGAAGATAATATCTAATATCATCTACCAACTCAATTGTATCGGTTTCTTCCCTTTCAGAAATTCGTTTAGAACTCTTCATTATTGCATCTTTGAATTCTTCAGATTTATAGTACTTTCTGATATCTTTTGCTAGTATCTTTGCAACAAAATGTTCCAGTCTCTCCATTCTTGTTTGCCATGCTACATCTAAGATTTCAAATATGGAGTAATTTTTCAGTACCTGGGGATCCTGTGTAATTACAATGGCTGACATTGACTTTAATCTGTCTTCTAACAAAAAGTCTGCAATTAATAGGACATCGATGGAATATTCCCAAGGTATATCAGAATCATCATAGTACAGATATCGTATCACTATTTCAGCAACTATGAATTCACATGGAGGAAGTGAGATAACTGGCAAATTTGAGAAAGCATCGCTGTCATTGTTATTCTTTAATTTTCGAAACATATGGTTCTCACTGAAAGGTAAAGAAAATAATACTTGGAAGTAGTGTGCTCTTGATAAAATAGATATATGGCACGGGTATATTCTTTCTGTATCTGAACTGTCTTTCGCCAATAATAGGATATCAGCAGAGGGATCTATAATTTTCGAATTATAACTTGCTGGCGTGTTTGCAGTTTTTAAATTCTTTGGATCGATTGTATTCAAAAATATATTATTTTCTACAAAATTACAGAGTTGTAGTCTTGCTTCCTCTGTAACTCTAAATTGAAATTCTATAATCATTGATGATTTTTCAGATGGATCAGTTACATGTCTTAATTTATCAAGGAAGTTTGATAATGTCTCTAGCTTCAACTCTTTAGATAAATCTATCAATTCTGGATATTCTGTTGTCTTGATTTCATGGATTACAGGTATTAAATAAATGAATTTTATAATTAAGGTAAATATCTTTAATCGGTTGTTAGTTGGAACATAGAAGGTTGGAATAAATTTATTAGAAGCACTGAAAAATGTCTTCCACAATTCAACACATCTAGCTTTTAAAAGAAATTGATGGATATCGATATGTTCGTTATCTTGTTTAAATACCAATTTTAAGCCATTAGTTAAAAATTCTTCCTCACTTAATAAAGAAGATATATGAGTAGCAAATGGTTGACTCGTATCAACCGCTTTTGAAATATCATAAGCTAATAATATATCCCTTATTATATCTGTTAGTGCACCATAAATACATCTAGCACCTTCGTATCTATCTCTATCACAAATTGCTCCTCTTTCTAGTAATAATTTTACAACTTCTTCATGACCACATAAACTTGCTAAGAATAAAGGTGAATTGTCAAAATTATCCACACCATTTAAATTAACACCAGCCGCTGCTAATCTATCTACATTTTCTAAATCACCTACTCTACATGCATAGCATAACTTTTCGAAATCAGTCCTATATTCGTTCATTAGAGCCAATTCGATGATATATTTTCCACAATTGTTCAACAAAGAAGGCAAGTATTTGTAAAATCGTTAATTACTTCTTGTATTATTTCGTATTATTTCAATAGAGATATAATTTGTAATTTTCGAATATTTTATTTCATTTTAACTGAAAATGTAATTAAATAAAAGATTTAGCACTTATATTACTAAAAAGTTAATTTTATGTTTCATATATACAAGTAAGATTAAATTTTTGTTTTAATTTAGTGAGGAAGTTGTTTATCGTAGTCATAATCATGATCATAATATTAGGATACTATATAATACATTACTATATAAATAATTAAAAATTCAGGTATACATATTAAAAGTTTTCCTATTAACACCTTATCCCTATCAATGATTCAAACCATGGATATCATAATATACAGACGTATGGATCAATAAATTTTGGAAATAAGAGGGAATTATTGTCCACGAATGAATTTAATACTGTGATAGACTACACTAGCCTCTACATTTCAATTAAGAAACTTCTCAGTAAAATAACAAAGATATAGTTAATTTACTGTCGGGAAAGGGTGATATCTGATCTAGAATAATTTCCATAATTTAGCATAACCACCATAATGATTTTACTACGAATTTTAATAATATTTCATCAATCTTTAAACAAAATGTTTCTTGAAGGATTAGGTCTCAAATATTGAAATATCTGAGTTCACTTAATTTTTTTCAGAATTGCCATTTGACGTTTCTAGCTCCTTTGTAATTTTACTAATTTCATCATTCAAATCCATGCATTTCATCATATCGGTATTGCTATTCTCCTCTATCTGTTGTAATAATTGATTTATCCTTTCTTCAATTTGGTCCAATTTGTTCTCCATTTTTGTAGCAGTCTCTTCCCCTTCATTTAACTTTAAATAAGCTTCTTTGAATTCGTTGGAATCTGCACTATCCATCTTATCTATAACTCTTAGATTATCAGTTTATGGTAATTTATTTGCTCTATAAGCCACTTGTTGTTTAATTAAGTCACAAAAATCTCTATAAAAGCATATTCGCCTATCAATATAGAACAGTATCAAGTTGTAAAAACATTATACCAACCTTCAAATTTACAGTTTTTTATAAAATAACCTATTTTACAATTTATATTTCAATTATATTCTTATTTGCTTAATATTTGATTAATTGCTGTTAAAGGTGATAAAATATATATCTGAAACTTTTCAAAAATTAAAGCGAAACAAGAAGAAACTTTACAAAACTTATCCTAGTTATATGTTAAATAAAACAAACCATAATATAGATTGGTTGGATTGAAAGTATAATTCAATAGTTTGCTGTTGTTATCGTTCAATTGATATTATATTATATTTGTTCTTGTCCTGGTTCACATTTTTATAATCGATTCCAATTCTTGAATTGTGTGGGTAAGGGAAGACTGTGAAGGAATTTAGTTCATTTACTTTTAATATAAACTTATTTAGTATACAAAGAGATGATTAAGTCTAATTTAATATTATTGGCATTTTATCTGTGTGCGTTAATTGGTGCTCTATCAGTCCATCCTTTAAAGACTTTGGTGCTATATGATGAAAGGTTAACAGAATTGAATGAGTATTCAAAATTTTTTAAATCTTTGAAAGATCGTTCTTATGAATTACTATATCAAGAAATTGGCAATAATACAGAATCAATTCCTTTATTCGATAAAGAAGATAGATTGTACGACAATTTGGTTGTTTTCCCAGTTAAAGGGAAGCATTTAAACAAATTAATTCCTGTGAAGAGTTTCTTACAATTTTATGAAAATGGAGGTGACATTTTAACTGTAACCAATCCAGATGCTGTCACTGATTCTGTCCGTTTCTTTCTCAATGAATTAGGGGTCTATCCAAGTCCTAAAGATTACGTTTTGACAGATTATTTTGAAGATATCCCAGAAAAAGTATCAGTATCATCTGAAAACTTACTTTCAAATCGTGTATACTCTGTTAAAGAGAAGAAGGATTTTGTATTCCAAAACAGTGGTGCTGCGTTATTGGATAATAGAGAACAAATAGTGCCAATTTTGAAAGCACCAAGAAGAACATCTACTGAATTAAAGAATAAAGAATCTTGGACTGTTGGCTCACAAGGGTTTTTGGTTGCTGGTTTCCAAAACTTAGTAAATGCTCGAAGTGTTTGGGTTGGTAGCCAAGATTTTTTCAAGAACCACTATTACAACATTAATGGTGAATTTATTGAAGAATTAACCAAATGGAATTTCAGGGAAAAGGGCGTCATTAAAAGTTCTGGTGCCACTCATACGCACTCTGATGGCACAAGCTATAGTTCTCTGCCATATAAAATTAAGGATACAGTAATTTATGAGATTGGTTTGTCTGAGTGGACAGGTGAGAAATGGGTACCATTCATTGCAAATGATATTCAGTTTGAATTGAGCATGGTTGATCCATACTACAGATTAACTTTACAACAGGCACATAAGGACGAAACAACTCAGTATTATACCTCTGGTGAGTTCAAGCTACCAGACCACCATGGTGTTTTTACATTTTCCACAAACTATAAAAGAGAGGGTTTGACTTTTGTATCTGAATCCGATGTCAAGGCAATTCGTCATCTTGCAAATGATGAATATCCAAGAAGTTGGGAAATTACTAACGCCTGGGTATATATAAGTTCCATTTACGGAATAATTGGAACATGGGTGATTTTTGTTATATTTTTTGTTGTTTCATCAAAAAGACATGTCTCTGTCGAAAAGAAAAATAATTGAAATATTCACCATTCATAAAAGTGACAAAAACTTATATGTTACCATTGTTAGAATAATTACTCCCCTGTTAAAATAAAATAAGGTATACTAAATCAATTTATTCAATTAAGTTTTTGAAATTTGATTTTTAGTCATTAATATGTCATAATTTAATTATCAATTAAAGGAAACCTCGATGCAATTATATATCATACAATAAATATATGGTAAATATTTTTTTTTATACACAAGATTTATTTTTATTGTCTCACAACTTGGATTTTATTATCCTTTTTCCATTTTTCAAATTCCTCAGCAGTTTTTACTAGATCTTCTTTCATTTTATTTATAGTCAAATCTAAATTATCTCTCTTCGTTATCAGAATTGGAATTGTAGTTTGGACATTACTTTCAACCAATGCACTGCCGACCATTCTATAACATTTTCTATCGGAATCAGTGTCTTCTAGTGTGTTAATTACCACATTATGTTCATCTTTATCATGACCTAATTCAATTATTTTAGATTGTAATTGTTCTAATCTTTCCTTATAATCATTATATTTTAATTGGAATGCTAATTAAAAAGTAGTCCATGTCAATTGACACAATGGGTGTTAGTAAATAATAGACCTATAGTAAATAAAATATACAATAATTTCGAGGGTTCTACCCAACTTTATATCACAAGCTAACATACCGTTATTTCTACCGTCCATTCTTATTATTGGAAACTAAAACGATTGATCTCTTTTCTTCTTGGTGGGCACACTAATGCTAAACGATCCAGAACCTAAATTTCCAAATATAAATGTCTATTGGTATTTTCTGATATTTCTTACCTATTAGCTGTATATTAACTCCAATTCTTCTTGTCTCTCAATATATATCATATATATATATATTAATTAATCTTAAAATATATGAAAATTTTACAATGAAAAATTCGATATTTTAGCAAGTTGGGTGTATAAAAAATACAATTTATTGGGCAAGATAGTAGGTGTTACATGTATATAAACTTATCACAACTGTAGATGAGGATCTTGAGGTTTGCTAAAGATTGAATATAAAAATGGTACCGTTTGGCTGTAGAATCCTGAGTGTTAAATGAAATTGTGTATAACAACAAAACTGAGCTTGATAATATGTAATATCTTAGTCAAAGAAATGAACTCTAATTATACGAGAAACATAACCTTGTTTTTGGTTTTATTGATCTGAGATCACTGTTAATGATAGAGATAAGGGAAAAACGTCTTAAATCCAGAATACAGGGACATACTTATTATACCATTGTATGTCTATACCCTTCTAAATTAGTAAAGTTTGTCAGATAAAAACTAAATGTTAGCAAAGGATAGCAAACCTAAATTTTATTTTAGTTCCTTGTTTGCCAGGATTGGAAACATTCATCCATCTACCTATCCATCTCTTGGTTTTACTATATAGTTTGATATTGTTACTTAAATACTAAACTCTCAAACAGTTCTGTTTATTGTTTGTTATCTATTAAGCCTTATATTCCCTTTTTTCATGTTTTGTTCATAAATGGATTAATCGAATCAATTAAATTCCGAACTAAATAATGAATTTAATTTTGTACTAAATTGCATAATAGATTATCAACGAACCCAATTGGATTTATCAAGTTTTACAATTATGAGGAGAAGATGTGGATAAAGAGGGCATAAATACAGAGTGGAAGTCAATCTCTAACAGTATACATCATCACCTGTGTATATATTATAATAAGTAATGCGCAACAAGCTTAACTTTCAAAATATTGAGCACAGCTATGCTTTTAAAGAATTGTCAAAGTTACCTTCGATAGTTTCATCAAAGCAATTACGAACAAATAGTATCTTTGAAGCAGTGAAACCAGAATTAAAAAATGTTCAGAATGATATTCAAATGTTTTATTCTGTTATAGAACGTGAAATTAATTCTGAAATTTCACAAATAGATTTAGTTGAAACAGAACTAAAGAAATCTTTAAAAAATGTGAATAAAAGTTATGCAAAGATAATGAAAAGAAGAACCATATTAAGTTCCAATGGAAAAAATAAGAATTTAGCGATTGTAGATGATTTCAATAAAGAAGTAGATGGGTTAGAATCACTTATTACTGGTTTAAAGGAGACAGTACATGACATGATTGATGATTTGGTCACTGCTGATTCTCAATTAAAATCAAATAATAAGTCGGTAACAAAAGAAGAAATAAATTCTCAACACTATCCTCTTTTATTCGAAATATTACAAAAAGACTATAATCATATTTTTAAGGAAAGCAATAATTTAAGTGTACAGGATGCTGACAGAAAAAGTATTGAACTGGATATCGAGGATAGGACAGAGGTAAAATCAAGTGACGATAAGGATTCAATGAATAAAAATATCAACATAATGCCAATTGAGGATAATAGCATTACACACTTATCATTTGAGGGTGAACCAATTTATACAAAAGTCTCTCATGAGAATAGTAATCAAGTTACAGATAAAGGTATTAATCAATTGGATGAAAATACGTTAAATCAAGAAATTAAAAATGATAATTTAATTTGCCAAAGATCGCTACCACCTAAAAACTTGTCCAATGAGAATGTGGTTAACGATAATTATGCTGATTCCAATTGCCTCAAGGAAGAAAAGAAGAATGAAGTTGATACAAGTAAAAGTAAAATGGGAACAATAAACAGCACCCCTTCAAGTACAACGATGGGAAACGGCTTCATCCTCCCAAATTTAACAAAGGTGGTTAAACCAACTATATCAACAACATTCGAAACAGTAGTAAACCGAGAGTTTTAAATCACAAAATGTCATTGGGATAAGAATCACCCTATAAGATACTACATTAAATATTTAATTCTATGTAATCTATGTAATGAATACATGCGAACATCTAAATACCTATAAGTCGTTTCAATAATTTAATTTACAATTCGGGTATTGTGTCTACTGGAATAAGAATCGAGAACCCACGACACTCTGTCGAAATACATCATAAATTGGTTGTGCAGTAAAATGATAATAAATATATATATTTAAAATAAGCTCTAACTTCATCTGTCTTTTTTTCGATTATAGAGATTAGTACATTTGTAATCGATATCAAACTTTGTGTCGACAATTTTGATAACTCAATTCTACCCATCGTAATTATATCTCAAATACTTACTAAATAAATTTTAAGAAGAAAACACAAACAGGCAACACCATAAAATTAGATAAATTCAGTCCTTTAGTTTTTTTTGAGACTTTCCTAGCAAACCGATACTACGTTTCTTGTCATATTTTTTATTCTTTTTGTATATCTTCATCATTTTTATTAAGAATATCAAAACCAAGAAAAACACTAGAATACAGATCAGAATTGAAACCAAGTCAACGGACCCGGGGACTCTATACTTCAGCTTAAATTTCTGTGGCTTTATTGTGTATTTGAAACCAGAATAATTTGGTAAAGTTAATGATAATATTGTTTCCTTTAGAACAAAAGAATTTGACGCAGTCAGTTTTTTACCAAAAACGTCATGATCATATAACAGATTCTTATATCTATCCAATAATAAAACATCCCCGAATCCGTAATTTTCAGGTAGTTTTGTAATTCCTAAATATTTCAATAAATTTTTGTTTTTTGAGACATCAATATATACTGCTTGAACAGAGGCCTTATTAATCCATTTTAAATATCCAGTAATATAATTAGTGGCATCAGCCTGTAGAGGTTCATTTTCTTTCAGCCTTTGCAAGATCTGCTCCCCTTGATCAGAAACTTGCTTAAAATGATCTACAATGAATTTCCAGCAAACGTAGTCATAATCGTAAATTGCTGCAATAGCTTTCTTTAAAAAACCCATGCTGTCTTTTTGATTACTCGAATCAACCAGTTGAATCAATATATATCTTACAGACTCAGACAAAGTGTAATAAATTCTTTCTATGTCATTATCCTTTGCTTCTGGTAAAATAGTATACTTTAAATCTCTAATTAAATCTTCTAAATTTTCAATCATCTGAGCTTCTGTTTCATCAGTAGATCTGTGATATACATATGGTCTTGAATCACCATCCCTAAAAATCATAAATGTTGGTATTACTGACGTAGAATATAAATTAAAATATTCCTCATCCAAAAACTTTGTTGGTTCAGTTTTATTATAATTAATCGTGTTCAGGAAGTAATTGTACGATTTTTTTAGATTCAAGAGCATCTTTGGCTCAGCTTTATACACATTTGTATTTGGTACTGAAGACAAACGTTCCAAATAACTCGCCAATGTTTCATCGCTTATCTGCGATTCCCTTCCTATATCATAATTATATGTATATACAACGTGCAAACCAGGTTGGAAACTTGAATGTTTCAATAAGGTAGTTGGATCAAATGATATAATTTTGGATAACAATTTTTCAGAAAATTCAGGTACTTCACTATTTTGTTTAATTCTTAAAGCCCAGGATAGTATGCTATTAGGGTTTGGTGAACTATTTTCAGTGTAGCTCCAAAACTTTTTCATATTGCTGTTAGGTAAGATATATCCTATTCTTGGTTGCCTATTAGAAGCACCAGGATCTGTTAATTCGTGGAATCCCAATTCCTGACACGTTCCTTTATATGAGTCACAATTAATGTGAACTGTTTCTATATCATTTTCATTTGCTAATTCAGATATTTGAGACCATGTTCTTTGGAAAGCTTTACAGTCCTCACAATTATAAAATAATAATTTGTCATCAGTATTTCTCATATTTCTAGTAGGCCAAAATGATACTAAGATCCCCCTTTCATTCCCTCCTTCCTTTATAAGTTTGGATAAGGTATTTCCAGACATCAATTTACTATTACTTTTTGTAATTATATCTAGATTAGATTTGTCTGATATTGCTTCACGAGCAAATGCTAATAACTTTTCTTTACTTCTTTCTTCAAATTGCGGGAAGCTTTTGATGTAACCAGAAGGACCATATAGCCTAATATCTGGGAAAAAATCAATATCCTCTTCATTACAAATATCACCACTTTCAATACAATTAACTTGAGAGAACTTCAACCCTACATCTTTACCTTCATTCCCAATATCTAAAATGGTTTCTTTCCAAATTGGTATTAAACCTTTACAATGGGAACAATAAGGACTGTAGAATTCAACAATATGTAAACCCTTTTGTAATTCTGATTTGAAATTATTAACCGTCAAAGGTTCAGGTAGTTCGAAATCTTTCTTGACAACATCATTAGATTCTTTATCCCCAGATAATAAACCAAATTTAGTAGCAGAAGACAGATTAAATAAAAATAGGCATAATCCAAATATCAACGAGAAATGCATGTTATGTTCCTTGCACTGCCCACCAAATATTATTCAATATAGTAAAAGTACAATGAACCATACACTGAGGACATCAAAGTATGTTCAAATTATATCGATCTGTATATATATTATTGACCAATGACTTGTATCTTCCTTTTTTCAATATATCTCTATATCTGATATCTAATAAGGTTTCTTCCGAAGGAGACCGTTGGCATAACCCACTTCTACATAAGATTAAGTAAATTAAAGCGAAGCAAAGCAAAGCAGTGTAAGCAGGTACTTCTTTCAAGCAATATTCGAACTTATTCAATAGCTGAACAATTTCACCTCTTTCGTAATCGAATCTAAATCTTTCTAATGAAATAGCAGACAAGTAAGCAAGAAAGCAAGCGAACGGGCATATATTACTATCGTGTGTCCCAAAATGTACAGGACAAGTATGCCGGATGAGAATATCTTTAAGTTCCAAAAGGTATAAAGTTCTTTAATGGGTCATTAATAGTGTTTTTTTTCTGTTTTAAGGAACAATCAGGACAGTGACAGGCATCAAAGTTAGCTCCCATTTTCAGGCAAATTTGCATACGTTGTCATAACACGTAAACACGCACATCTATACATGCAGTACAGTTAAAAACAGATTAAGTTGAAACATATTAAATTAATCCATAGAGAGTGACCTAATTTGTCTATAACCTTTTTAAATTTAGATATAGATTTAGATATATATAAATAGATTCTGTCTGCTCCTGTCTAAATTAGTAGCTGGAGATCGATGCATTATGTAGTACATACAGACCATCGTGTATTAACAATTGACATCACATCTATACGTGTTTGGATGCTGGTTGAATGATTGATGACCAAAGTAGAACATAAGTCTTAAGCAAAGCTAACCAAACCAAACCAGCCTTTAATGACTGGTTTGCTGTGAAGTTAAGTGTTCAAAATATGGTAGCGTGATAAATAATTTAACTAGTAGTAATGCTAATAAATTGAAAAGTTTTAAAGGTTTCACATAGTTAAATTAAATCGAACTGATACTAGTTTAGTACCAAACTAATAACACTGTTTGGATTATAAATTGTTACAGAAACATCCACACATATTATCCTGGTCATTACATTATATAGCTAATAGTATTGTCAATTATTTGTACAAATCAGTTTTTAATAAGAATATAAGGTTAGTTAAAGTAGTAATGTCCTTAAGTAAAGAAATTGCTGTAAAATATCAAATTAAAGAAACTTTGCTAAATAAAATTGAAAAAATTGAAGATTCTACATTACAGGAATTGAGCTCTTTGAAAGAAGACATAGAAAAAGAGTTAAATGATCTTATAGATGAACTTGCTAAAAATAATGCAGAATGGGACACTGAATTGTTAACTCCGGAAGGTTTCCCAAGAGATGATTTAGACGTATTAGCAATTATAACAATTAAAAAGAATATAAATATGTTGAGAAATGATTTGAAGAAAGTGATGAATTGTTTACATAAGGCAATATCAAATAATTCTGAATTAATGAAAAAAAATTTAACTTCATCGGAATCGATTCAAAATAAGGTTATACATCCAATGAATAGTAACATTCCATTTGCAATCTTTACTGAAGTTATTAAAAACAGTCCCTGTGATAAAGCTGGAATTAATTCAAACGATAAATTAATCCAAATTGATAATTTTAACGCAGCAAATTATAAGAATTTGAACGTCATAAAGAACTACATCGTCATGCATGAAAATATCGAAATGAAATTAAGAATCTTAAAGTCAACTAATGTTATGAAAGAAATAATTTTGATACCATCAAAGAACTGGGATGGTTTGGGAGTCTTAGGGTGCAAGTTGACAATATTATAATGAATTGAAGTTTTAATATTTATTCCTTAAGCTTTCTTTTCATCAATATGATTCATCAGAATATCTGTCCTTTTTAGCAGTATTGTTTGGTTTTTAAGATAATATAGACATCCAATTTCATATTATATATTTCATAATTCATAATATACTTCCTTTGGATAATTACTATTATAATTCCAATTATCTAGAAAACTATGATTATGTTGTATGTTTTTGATATTAAGTACCCTTTAAGGTTTTTAAGGTAATTTAACTATAGCTATAGTCCTTCAAATTATTTAATCATAGGGTCAAATTATTCACATGGTTTAGAGTCCTAAATTACAAACTAGGAATATTTACAGTATGTTGCTCCTATCGGACTACTAATTATTAATTGGCATAACATATTTCAATTATTTATATTAATTAGAGTTGAAAAATGTAAAGTACTATAAAAGCTAAGTGATATTTCTGCTGGTAGATGAAATACATTGGGTGTAAACTACAAACGGCTATTTTGAATTTATGAGCAGTAGGGAATTGCCTGTTACTAGCAATTTCACAAACATATTAAATCTTAGAAGATATATTATTTTTTCCAATAATAATTTGATTGATTCGTTATGGTCTACATTCTCATAAAGTATAGATCATTTAATTTCTACTTATATTTCAGCAAAGAAGGAACTTTTATTGGAATTCCAGAAGATGTTAGCTTTTTTAATAAAAAATAGATATACCAATATGAATTTTTCTTTTAACAAGTTCCCCTTTCTATCATTTTCATCTAGATATGAGTCTGCTAAATACTAATATATAATATTACACATACTCTGTCTTCTGTTATTTTTATGGTCATTACAACTTCACATTAACTTCCTAATTATAATAAATAAATATCATAAAAGAGTTAAATAAGAATATCTATGCAGTTAAATTTGCAGATAGTCATTTGTTTGTTTTCTTTACAGAATCGTTCATAGTGTTAGATTGTTTATTTATTTCCAAGGACATTCTTAATAAGTTGATATTGATTCGATGTATTAAGATATATGATATACACATGGGAATATAATTAATATTATAAGTATCAATTAAGATCGTATCATCTCTTATATGCAGTGTTTGAAAATTCTTAATGTGTCAGAAAAAACACTGTCGTGTTCGGGACATTTACCATTTATGGATAATGTTTGCGATGAGGAGACATGGAAGTGGATTTCCTCTACAAAAATACACTCATAGTAAATACCCGCAGAGAGAAAAAACCACCCATCCCGCAGGCTATTTATAGAAGCAAATTAACGGAAACTTCCCAGAGGTCACAATTTGGTCACATGTCATTCATGTGATCTTAGAAGCCCTGATCATAATAATGTTCAATTTTCCAGTAAATAGTTAAACTAACCAATTTATATCAAAAGATATACCGTAGTACAAAGCGATAATACCAAGCCCTAAGAAAACCTAAGCTTGTACCCTCACAGTGGTCCCATTAAAATGTTATCTGCCATCGGTTTGAAATTTCTTATCGTCCCAATTAGGACAATTCAGTTTTTTGCCAAATTCAGTCAATTGCTGGGCCTTTAGTCCTCTTCCATGCCTATACAAAAGTATGATCTTCTGACGTATCAAGAATATCTAAACACTGTATATAAAGTCTGCTAAGATCTTAATTGATACTTATCATATGTACTGTATTTCTATAAAAGAATATTATTAGCAAACTACCAATATACTAAAATACTTGAATGAGATTGCAAGAAATTGTTAGAAAAAATGATAAATCTAGAAAGCAACCGAACAACTAAGAGTAAGATAATTTATATAGTTAGCATGACGATTATGTCTATAGTAGTCTTCACAGCCGGCTATAAGCTGCACCAGTATATTGATGAAGGTCCCAGGCCTAGCGTCACCGACGCTAGGACTCAAGGAGCGGCATCAGGTACGAGTGGAACCTTAGGAACGGCCTACGAGGCAAGGTAAATGAAATGCCAGAAATCTAGTCACTTACAGCCAAGTGACCAATCGGCAAACATGGTAGACCGTGGTGAAGGTTCCACATGTAGGGTGAGGTTGTTAGCATGCCACATTGGACTACAGAAGGTTGCGTCGTGGCCCTTTGGCGTGTGGCAAATAACCTAAATTATGAAGATCGATTAGCAGTCAGGCACGCGATAATGTCATGTGGGTAATAAGGACACAAGTCCAAACAAGACACTCGGTAGCATACACTACCGTAATAGGCAGGCACGATAGCCTATATTATACTAACGGACGCTGGCTATTACGCCAGACGCCAAGTAGACGAGGAGGTGTCAGGCTCCCGTCTCCTTGAGCACAGTAACCATCTGAATGCGTGGACACTATAACGTTAAAGCTACTATATCCGGCATTGTCCGACAAAATATATAAGAATATTATTTGTAAATTACCAATATACTAAAATACTTGAATGAGAGCGCAAGGAATTGTTAAACGTATAAATACGGAGACTAATTTCCAAGATTATATTAACATATTTATATTATTATTTTATATTAAATATAAAATCCCCAAGGAGAAATATAATTAAATGAATATGTCACCTATTAAAAATAATCAAGAATTTGAACAATTTCCTTATGTATATTATGTATTTTAATACAACGGATCAACATCTACTAAATAAGAATATCCTTGGAAATAAATAACAAATCTAATAGTTTGCAAGATTCGGTAAAGAAACAACAACCTTATGATTCTACACAGGTCAAAATGTCTATTTAAGTTGTATATACTTCTTATTAATGTTCAGATGTTAACTTAATATCTGAGTTATTCACTATAGTGATTTATTTAAGATGATTTTTGAAGTAATAGTAATATTTTTTTATTTCTCCGTGAAGTCTTATATTTGAACTAAATAAGTATACAATAATAAATTAGACAGATGATATTTCAATATTCCAAAATATCTTGTCCTTTCTATATGTTTAGATCCAATTACATAATCTTAGTATTATTAATTAATTATTAATCAATCCTTTGCACTTCACTACCACTGATACAATTGATGGTTGTCAATTGCTTGTTATAGTTTCTCTTTGTAATCATTAATTATAATTGCTAACTATCAATACTATTCATAGTTGCACACTATCATTTCTAATCATAATTACTTATTCTGATTGCCGATGATAACCTGACATTAATAATCATATTAATAATCTATTGGATTTGTAATCTTCGATTGTACCTTAACATTACAATAAATAATTATTGCTTTATAACAATATCCTGTAAACATACAACTATATTACCTATATTTTAGGTCACAGCACGTTGGATGAAGTTTTCATGACTTTAAGTAAGTCCAGTAAATAGTTAAACTAACCAAAACTATATAAATTTAAATTTAAATATTTGAATTAGTCCAGAACGTAAATTCCAAACCCCAAGAAAGCCTAATCTTGTACCCTTAGCAGTGAACTCATCAACATGGTATCTGGTATTCGTTTGAAATCTTCTACCATCCGTATTCAGTAAAGTCAATTTTTTTGCCAAATTCAGTCAATTGCTGGGCCTTTAGTCCTCTTCCATGCCTATACAAAAGTATGATCTTCTGACGTATCAAAAAGATCTAAACACTGTATATAAAGTCTGCTAAGATCTTAATTGATACTTATCATATGTACTGTATTTCTATAAAAGAATATTATTGGCAAACTACCAATATACTAAAATACTTGAATGAGAGCGCAAGAAATTGTTAGAAAAAATGATTAATCTAGAAAGCAACCGAACAACTAAGAGTAAGATAATTTATATAGTTACCTGGACGATTGCAGCTACATTACTCATACCAGCCGGCTATAAGCTGCACCAGTATATTGATGAAGGTCCCAGGCCTAACGTCACCGACGCTAGGACTCAAGGAGCGGCATTACATAGGAGGGAGGAGTTGGCCCTTTTCGGACAACCGGTTGCATATACGGGCGACTATATGATTAGTGACTTTGTTTCTCTACCAATATCAGATAAGTTAGCTTTTAATTACACAGCTCCAATCGAAACGAGATTTAATTACCTCTGGGCTGCGGTATCAGCATGGAACGTCTTTCAGGCTGGGTACAGCTTATGGAGTACGATTAGGGCCTGCAGGGATTGGTCTACCGGAGGGAAAGCAGGTCAGAGTGATTGTGTCGTAGGAGCAGCCACTACTGGTGTGACACTGAGTGCTGCTGCGGGTGCAGCAGTGGCCGGGTACTTGGAGATAGGACTGGCACTTAAGAGAAGCGGTACGGCGTTACCAGGTTTTGGTAAGCGTGATTCCGCACAAACTACTACAGATTTAGTCCATCAGATGGCGTTAAACCTTATCAATGGAACAGATGTCGCTATAGCGGTGATTTACGACCGCACAGGCCAGCCTATCTACAATGAACACTCAGGATGGCCAGTATTCGCCCTTAAACATGAGTCGCATCCCATCTTACACTTCACAACTCTAGACACCAATGGCACTAGCCATAACTTCGTCATGACGGATCAACACCCGGTAGTCAATTTAGCGAAGCGTGACGAACAATTTAACCTCGAGAACTTCAGTCAAGGTGGACTGCAGTTCCATGACTACCAGATTGAAGATAATTCGGTAGCTCATGTAGACGTATACAGAGATTACGGCGAATTTGACCATCAACTAAGCTGTCAATTGGATTTACAAGCACATGCATTCAAGTATGAAGTTTGGGACTACAACCATAATCAGGCCATGGTAGTGGGCAACTGCTGGGCATACCAGTACGACCCATACGAAGACAGGATGGTGGATATGATGATGTATCCTGGGAACCCCATGAATGAGTGGGATAAATGTTATGTATCATGAACTAACACGTCTTATAGGCGCACGATCGAACGAGTAGGACATAATATGATCTAACGTAATTCAGGCTACGTTATATAAAAAAAACAACAAAAACCAACAAAACAACAAACAAATAGAAAACAAAACTCCGAAACTTAAAACTAAAAAAATATATTAAGATATTTAAATATAACATATATGTGGTTAAATTAAATTAAATAAAAATAAATAAAAATAAATTAAAAAAATAAAATAAAATTATTAAATTGAAATAGTTAAAATATATATGCTTTATTTTTCGCACCCTGAGACTAACTGGTGGTACTCTAGAGTATACACTCACCGTGAGTATAACTGGCGCAACCTTTAGGTAGCGAATGAAGAGCCAGGACAATTACTCTGGCCATAACTGACAGAATGGTATAAGCTGTAAGCTTCAATGTAAGTAGATATACGTTAAATAGGTACGTTGACCTATTACTGAGGTCAGTGAGTGGTAACTCGCTCATCCTCCTGTAACAGAGTAGTCTATATAACATAAATAGTTTTATATATCCGAACTGAAAATTTGTTCCTTTTATATATTAGAGAAATCGATACATTCACCTTGTACAAAAAATAGCAATAGTGACATAAACTTTATCCTCGAGTATCCAGGTTAAAGTCACAACACTCTACAATTACCATTCAGACAAATTTCCATTGTGTCTTGTTTCTCTCATTGTGACACCAATTATCTTATTTTACCCGGACTAGCTATACTATTACAATTATTAATCTATTTGTTGGAAAAAACATTTATCAGAAACTAATCCGATATAGTGTAACGGCTATCACATCACGCTTTCACCGTGGAGACCGGGGTTCGACTCCCCGTATCGGAGTTTATTTTTATTTTTATATTTAGTAACCACCAGTCATGGAAAATTAAAGATATTCTTGACAGTATTTTAATCTATAAAATATTAAGTTCACTTCAAAAGTTACGTTCTTAATTTGTATAAAGTTTCTGTGTAAATAGTTAAAAATGCTTTGCTAATAAAAAATGACATTGTTTATAAAGTTTTATCCTAAACTAGATTGTTCTTCTGTTGCTATTGTAACAAATTCAGGAACCACCCATTCCATTCTTCTCAACTCTCTTTCATAATCTTTGCTTCCTTTCACACCAGAAATATATTTATTATATTTTAATTTATTTTTGACAAACCACAATAATCCCTTTAGAATGACATCCTTGTTCTCTGGTTTAATTGTAGTTGATATTATTTTCCTTAAGAAATCAGTGTCATAGATAAATTTCTTGTTACCAGTTTTTGTTTTTGACTTCTTTTCACATTTCTTTGCAACACTTAAGAGAAATTGGTATAGAACCTGTTCAACAAACAAAACACCTTCAACTGTCAACCCACTAATTACTGGTACATGTTTGAAAGAATTTAGTGTCAAAACATTATCAGCAATAAGAGAACCAAAAAACTTACCTTGACTTGATATTTTCTTTAATCTTAAACTGTGATCATCATCATCAAAGTTTGTGAATGCATCAGTTTGAATATCGCCAACAGCATCCTCTTCAAGTTGTTTTACTACATCCCAGAATAAGAATTGAAATGTTTTCAACAATTGATGATGATGTTCACAGATTTTACTTGCAACAATCGCATAGTATGGATTATACCCATTATTTGCCCCATCAGTCAACAAACAATGAGTGAGAACTTTTGGAATTTCCAACATTTGCTTATTCTTCAAGTTTAATTTCTCTAATTTAGTGAATGCATCCATAAAATCTTGGGCAGACATGATACTGATGAAAATAGCACGACGAACATCCGTATTCATTCTCTGTTGTTTACTAACTTCTGTCCAATCAGGTATATCATCAAGAAGATCATCTACAATTTTCAGGTTGCTGGTATTTTTAAGACCACCGTCATTTTGACTTTCAGCTTCTTCAAATGCACTCTCCATATTACCTTTCCAGGATGCACCAACTAGCCACCATTTACCTTTGGTTTCAATATTTTTTATATCATCTAATGAAACTTGGATTGGTTCACTAAAGGCTGATATTTTTAAATTTTGTTGCAAGTTTCTTTTCACTTGTGAGTTACTTGGCGCCAACACAGATGGTTTTAGCCTGTTATTTTTTAAGTCAGACATAGTATCTAATAGAAACTTTAAACGCGGACCATGATTGTTGATAGATTTAACGTTGCTCAGAAGTTCCGAAAGTATATCTTTTAAGGCACTTGGATCATCACCACGGATTTGAGGACCTGAAACAGCTACAATCCTTAATAACAACTCTGTTGTAAACTCATTTGGAGTGGCAACAAGCATATGAACAATATTATACAAAAGTTTGCAGGTAATTAAACCGAAGTTATAACAGTATGACAACAATGTTATTATGTTATTACAATGCTTAGGAAGAAGTTGGGGTGTATTCAAATTATCCTTTGACTCTAAATTAGAATCCTTTATCTTATTCATTTGATTCTCAAAGTGACTTAAGAAAACTGAAACAAATTGCTGTATAAAATATGCCCCTACTTCAATACCTCGTAATCTCCATAAAGAGTATGCCACTGCCGAATAATTTAGAATAAAGCTATCAAGTAATTTTTCCTTTTGATTCACAATTGATAAAATTTCTTCTGAAATAACTTCAGTAACATATTGACGAGGGAATGAATCATATAAGACATTTAATGAGGTTACAATGACAATTATATTTGAATCTGACAACTTATTCAATGAAGATTTCACAATTTTTCTTATTTGAGCAACGACTTGAGAATCAGCATTATCATTCAATGACTTCTTTCTTAAGGATGGTGGAATATAGGCATCAGATGAATTGTTCACCGGAGCAATATATGGGTTTTCTTTTGCCTTTTTTTTCTTTTCCTTTTTTGACGAACTTTCTTCAAGTTCAGAATCAAAGCTATCATGTCCTTCATCTTCTAATTCTTTTAATTGTTTCCATTCCTCTTCATCTAGGTCATTCTCATCAAATTCGTCAAAATCTCCTGAAGAAAGTTCATCATCAGAAGAAAATGGAAGCTTTTCCCCTTCTTTCGTCACAAGACCCCCCCTACCATTGTCATTACCTGACGAACTTTCATCGGATCCACTCTCGTCAGATTCACTTACATCAGATTCACTAGTTTCAGATTCTAAGGATTTATCCGTTTTATTGCTAATTGCAAAATCACCGTATTCTTCATCGCCTTCACCAAAGTTTTCAAAAAAATCTAAACCCTCTAGCAAACCACCAATAGCATCAAATTCATCCCTTGCACGAATTTTTTTCGAGCTGCCCTTTAAATTCAATTTCTTTGCATAATATTGCATTTCCATTTCATCTTTTCCCATCATTGCACGTTCAGACGGTGTTAATGGGTATACAACTTCTTCATCATCTTCTTTACCACTTTTTTTAGTTCTATGCTTTTTAGAAGATGTTTTATCCTCCTTGGAATTTTTATTTTTCTTATCCTTCATTGCCTTCAAAGCCGCCATAGTTTCTTCCACAGTCATTGTCTCACCTTCTGACTCTAAATTGCTTTCTTCGGAGAAATTTTCAGAACCTGATTCTAAATCTGATTCTAAGTCTAATTCTTCTTCCTGGAGTTCTTCTCTGTTAGCTGACTTTCTTAACTTTTTTTCCTTTAATGCCTTTAGTTTATTCATGGTTTCTTCTGCTGTCATTTCGGATTCCACATCCTCAGCATCAGAATCATTATCTTCTTCCTCGAAATCTTCAAAATCCTCACTGTCATATTCCGAACCACTTCCTTTGTCACTTGCGACTTCAGCATCACTTTCTTCACCTTCTAGTTCTTTCAATTGCTCCCATTCTTCTTCGTTTAAATCATCATCCTCAAATTCATCAAAATCTCCTGAAGACAATTCATCATCAGATGAAAATAATAATTCAGTAGGGTTTTTATTAGCCTTTTTATTTTCGATTTCAAACCTTACAGCTTTTTTATTACTTGTAATTGCATTTTTACTTTTCTCATTTTTACGTGGTAAAGTTGCTTCATCTGGCTTTTGAGCTTTATGCTTTTTAGCCAATCTTTCTTGCTTTCTTTTTTCTTTTCTGCTTAACTGTGGTCCATTCTTTCTCTTCTTTTTATTCTGATGAATTCGTTGATTATTAAATCTATCATCATTTGAATAATCACGTCCTTTCAATTCATCCAGCAACACACCAGGTATGTTAATACTATGTCCACCTGCCATAGCCAAAGCAATTCAAAACTACGAACCAAATGCACGGATAAAATTCGTTATTCTACTGTACTCAGCTGAATGACTATGCAAGCAGAAGTAAATATGTAAATGCGTAAATACACTATTACTTTTCAAAATATATATTTGTAACTTTTCAATCTTATTCTTGAAAGCTCATCTCATCCCATCTCATCTCATCTCATCTCATCTTTTTCTTTGTAAATTTTTCAATTATACCAGTTCGAGTCGAACCCACATCGGGACTACCACCGAATGATTGAAATCGATTTTTCTTTTAAAAAAAAAAAGAAGAGTAGTTTCTATTGACGACAGTAGAGAGAATAATTAATTAGAGTATAATTAAGAATGTCACTGTTTTTATGAATCATAAATAGTTGTTGAAAATATTATATAATATATATAAGTAGCAATTAAAATATGACCTAAAATTGGAAAACGTAGAAATGGGTTTTACTAAGATTAAAAAGAATAATAAGATGAAAAATAATTCTATTCATGCAATTCATCAATGGTTAAATTTTATATAAGTCCTAAATTATAAATATCATTAGAAACAAAAATAAAACCCCGAGTGTTCAACTATAAAGACTTAGATCTAATGGAACACTACTTCCCTTACCACTAGGATAAAGTTTCGTCTTACCTTGGAAAGCTCTAGGTTTAGGCATCTGTGAAACATTAACCCACTTAAAACGTGAATCATTAATAGTGATTTTGCCAGCATTAAGTTTTACACCAGATGAATCATTGGATCCATTAATTGTTATTTCACCAACATCAACCTCAACTGTATTAGTATGCTTATTTATATTATATGTGGCGTTAGATGAACCAGATGAAAATATTCTTTGTCTGATATCTGCCATTTCTTGATTGGTGGATGGAGTCTCAACGGAGGGCTTATTGTTTTGGGTTTGGGGATGTTGTGGTGCTGTATTAGGTGGAGGAGGAGGGGCAGCTGGAGCTGAGTGAGCTACTGGAGAGTGTGAAATTACAGGAGCAGGGGCAGGTGCAGATGGAATTGATGGGGCAGGTGGTGCCTTGGCAAAAGGTGGAGGTGGAGGAGCAGAAGTAGCGGTATGACTTATTGTATGTGGAGGAGGAGCTGATGGAGCCGATGGAACTGGAGCCGATGGAACTGGCGGTGCTCCTCCGGTAGGAATAGAAGGTGCAGATGCGGATGGTATCGATGGGGTAGGAGCATGGTTATGTTTCAATTTCGATTCTATTTCACTCAAGAAGGAATTACCGCTAGATGGTGGAGGAATAGAGGGAGCAGAAGGAGGTACCGAATTTTCTCCACCGCCTACACTTGGTTGCGCCGACTTGGTAGTGTATCTAGATTCTTCAGAGACTACAAATCTATCATCTCTTTTATTTTGGATTTCAGATAAGAATGGAAGTGGACCACCTGGAGCTGGTGCACTTTTTGAAGAAGTTATACCTGGAGCTGCTCCCATAGGAGGAGGAGGTGGTGCAGATGGTGCACTTGCCATTGTTGGTGGAGGAGGTGGAGCAGGAACACTTCCCATAGGAGGTGGAGGAGGTGGAGTCGAAACATTTCCCATAGGAGGTGGAGGTGGGGCAGCTGGAGCAGCCGGAGCACTGACCATAGGTGGTGGAGGTGGAGGGGCAGTTGGTGAGGATGTTGGCAATGGAGGAGCAGGCATTTTGCCCATTGGTGGTGGTAGAGAAGCAGATGGAACTGGTGCAGATGGAACTGGCGGTGCTCCTCCGGTAGGAATAGAAGGTGCAGATGCGGATGGTATCGATGGGGTAGGAGCATGGTTATGTTTCAATTTCGATTCTATTTCACTCAAGAAGGAATTACCGCTAGATGGTGGAGGAATAGAGGGAGCAGAAGGAGGTCCCGAACTTTCTCCACCGCCTACACTTGGTTGCGCCGACTTGGTAGTGTATCTAGATTCTTCAGAGACTACAAATCTATCATCTCTTTTATTTTGGATTTCAGATAAGAATGGAAGTGGACCACCTGGAGCTGGTGCACTTTTTGAAGAAGTTATACCTGGAGCTGCTCCCATAGGAGGAGGAGGTGGTGCAGATGGTGCACTTGCCATTGTTGGTGGAGGAGGTGGAGCAGGAACACTTCCCATAGGAGGTGGAGGTGGGGCAGCCGGAGCACTGGCCATAGGTGGTGGAGGTGGAGGGGCAGTTGGTGAGGATGTTGGCAATGGAGGAGCAGGTATATTGCCCATTGGTGGAGGAGGAGGTGGTGGTGGAGCAGATAGAGGAGATGATGGCAGCGGAGGTGCTGAAGTTGGGATGCTTGGAGCTGCAGGTGCACTTGTACTAGGCGGTTGTGGTATGGAAGATGCTGTTGTCGCTGCTGTTGAAGGATGAGGAACTCCTGGTATGGATGGCGCGCTGGGTATTGTTGGTGCCGAGCTTATTGTACTAGATATTGATGAAGTAGTCTTATGTGATCCCCTAGGAGGTCTTGTGGAAGGCAATTTTGGCCTAGTTGAAGGAACCGAGGGAGCAGACATCCCTGGTACAGCAGGTGCACTATTTGATGGAATTGCTGGAGCAGAGGGAGCAGCTTTTACTGGAATTGATGGAGCAGAAGGAGCAGACATCCCTGGGATCGGAGGGGCACCTGAAGGTACAGGACTTGAACCACTGCTATTATTACTTATATGTTTTAGTTTTGGAATTCCACCGGCTAGTATATCTCCCAATTGTGGACCTCCCATCATTGCTGGAACAGGGGGAGCACCAGAAGAATGGGCAGAAGGTGCCGAACTTGGAACGGATGATCCTGAATGAGAGCCGCTTGATCCTAATGAAGGTGCACTTCTATCATTTGTCTCAGCTTTCTTCAGTGATTTACCCTTTTTAATATCATTCAATAGAGCATCACGTCCTTGCATTACAGAAACTGCTGGTTTAGGGGCATTATTACCGCCTGGTGCAGCTAATACAGGAGGAGGTGGAGGTGGAGGTGGAGCTGGTGGACCCGCCATTGTTTCAATGATATGTATTTATGTATGAATGAGTTTCTTCTAATATTTTTATTAATTTATTTCTAAAAAAATAGCTTTTTAAATATCAAAATCTTTTAAATTGATTTAATTAAATTTTTTTAATATTTTTCAAATGATTAGAACATCAAATTACCTTAATTTATTGATAATAGCAATTGTTGTTAAGTCACAAACTTAATTTAATTCTAGGCAATAATCAATTTCTTTTTGTTACTAAGTTGGTAAGTTCCAAACTTAAAAACTGTTGCTAGTTTGTGAGTAACTATGAGAGTAATTTTACTTGAATAATTCAATTAGTTTCCCAAATTTGTCCCTTTTTGAAAAAAAACGAGTTAATGAAATTTGAGATTGATATAAATTTTTTTAAGAAATATCAAATATGTCGTGAAGTATGATATAAATTTTCAATATAGAATTTAAAAATTGTACATATATAATTAAATAATTACCTACCTGTCCGTATATATGAATTAAACAATGACACAAGGTGGAAAAATGCTAAGAATGCCTAAAGAATGGTATCAATATATCATTATTTAGGTTATGCTGAAATATGGAAATTAGGTGGTCAATCGAGTTGTCTTGTGAATCCCAAGCTTTCTAAATTTAATGAATTATTATCAGTAATTTTTTCAGTAGTTAATATAACGATTAAAATTGGTATAAATTTTTTTGATTCCAATAATTCGTTACCTTTTTTGTTTGTAACTTGATTAAATGAAGTTAATTTATTATATTGTATTATTTTTACAGTATTTTTTTGAATTTTTTTGAAAATTTGTAAGATGGTCAATAATTTTTGCAAATTATTACCTAACGAGTACAAACAAATTGTTCTTTTTCCACCATCAGTATCGTTACTAAACAATTTTAATAATCTATCAATAGATTTTTTAATGTTATCGTTTTTAGTAATTTTAATAGATTTTTCAATTTTTTTTTTTTCATTTAACAGTACTTGATCAAGTATTAAATTTTCAATTAAATTTAAACATTCATTATTATTATAATTTGGTATCAAATCAGTGATGAATTGATTATTGTAGTATAATTTTGACATTACGTAAACAAACAAAAGAATTCTTCCTCTTGATATTTTGATTACTTGCTTCTTCCCTGCAGTTAAGTAATACAGTATAAGCCACCCACTACAATGCTAATTGGCAAAAAAAAAACCAGATATAATAGATCTTCGTCTTTCTGCTGTTTGTATAATTTTTACTCCACTCTCACACAAAAAATAGAGATGAAATCGAAATGGAATAAAAGTGAGATCTCGAGTAGATATACGTTTTAATCTTGTCCAACTAAACGAGGATTAACTTTATTAAATGAATGGGATGAGATGAGAACAAAAGTGATGATATTTTTTGTATTATTTTACAGATGTCGATCCAGAAAAGAAACGGGTAGTAAAGGGATGTGGGGCCAAGTAAATAATGTATACGAAGAATAAGAATAAGTACGATGACTTTAAAATAATGTCAAATATGATAATCAATTAAAAAAAAAGACCATTCCAAATCAAGTGGAAAGAGATGAGATGAGATGAGATAGGCCTTTATTGAATTCATGATATTTTTATTTTTAAAAAAATCTTCCTCTCTCGTTCTTCTGGATAATCACATTGATATTCCCATAATAGAGCAACGTATATCATATATCACGAGAATATATCATACAGTGCTAACTTTGATGATGGATGGATGGATGGATGGATGGATTGTGGGCGGGTCTTGCTTGTCAAAGTAGTTGTGTTCAGTAGTGAGAGAGATTGGGACAGGCGTTACCCTACTGATACTTTCGAAAGTGGAAGGAAGTGTGTAACGCAACGATCCTGTTTCTCTTGGAGAAGTAACTTGGAAAGGAGCTCAATTGCCAATCGTGCTAATTGAAAGAAGGGGAGAAACGAGGTAAAGGCAAGAAAGAAGCTCAAATTGGGGCAGGATGCATTGATAGTTATACAAGGGTAGCCACAGAGGACGAAGATCTTAGCTTGGTATAATTTGATGGGGAGCCAAGAATATCAAAATGAAATAAAATAAAATAAAATAAAATAAAATAAAAATCATATTGTACTGACTGTTGAAGGAAGAGATTATTATATCCAGGGACGATACAAATTATCGATGTAATTCTTTTACTAGTTTGATATCTTTACATAAGACTGCCTTATTTTTGTTCATTTCTTTGTAAATTTGTTTGTCTATTTGGGAGAGGGAGAGAGTGAGAGAGAGGGGGAGGCGGAGGTTCTTGATGTCACTGAGACGAGGCTAGTATATAGTAGTTTTTAGAGGCCACCTATGGGTATGAGTATGGGTATGAGTGAGACTAGATCCACCATAATAGATAGTTTGGTGTTACTGTATTACCAAATACTTGCACCAGAAACATAAGATAAAAATAAAGTGGAACATTTTTGCCTGTAATTCATATTTATTTATTCATTTATTTATTCATTTATTATTTTTTTGTTACGCGTCTGAATCAAAACGAGACACCAAGTAGCGAACGGTCTCTCTCTATTTTGTGTTGTCTTTGAGAAACAGATTAAAAAGAAAAAGAGCAAGCTTTGGAGAGAGAGGTACACCCACTAGCCGAAAAGGAGAGAGATACAGAGAGAAGGGAAACTTTCATAACAAAACATAACAAAATGAAAATTTGAATAATTTACAATAAAAACGATTACAAATTTGAAGGTGGCCCTGTTTGTTATCTTCTTCTCTCTAGCCTTTACGGAATTTTCGAACCTGCAACTGTAAAACCGCCTTCGTAAATAGATACAAAGATACATTTATAACACCACACAATCATATCACACGGTACAAGAGAGGACCAGACAGACACCTGTGACTTTCGTTGCTCCTTTTCTTTTTCTTTTGTGTGCCTTCCTGACGAACAAGCCTTTCACAATGAGCTCAACCTTTTTCGTGTGCGGATATGAGGTCGTGTAGTCTGATCAATATTGTTTCCTAATTAGGATAAAATCTGCAGATATGTGTATTTACCGTCACTTTGGATTGAAAAAAACGAAAAAAACGAAAAAACCACACATATATGGTAAAATCCAAGGCATATACGCATATATGCTTTAATTTCTTCTTCTTTTTTTTTTATTACTTTCTTTCTCGTCCACTAGAGTGTCTCTGAATGGAGGAGCAGAGATTACACATGTATGCATGCATGTGTTTCTTGTCTCATGTCATATCTTAAGGGAATGAAGAACTGAAGAGACACAAGCACACCGGGTTTTTTCTTTTTTTCGCCTTTTCTTTTTTTAAATAAATATATATTTCAGGTTTGGCGTTGTACGGATATTTTTCGGAACTAACCAGCCTTCGAAATAAAATTTGGCATTTCGAGTCCTTTCTTTCTTCTTCCTTTCCACCCAACCCGCAAAACAAACACGCAGAGAGAAACGCGAAAATGACCCAAAAAATTCAAAAAAAAAGAAATGTGCTTTTTTTTTCCCAAATTTCCCGTTTTATTCGCTATCCAGTTTCGAGATGTTTATTGATCGATACCTTACAAAGAATCTAGTCTAGATATATCCTAATAGCACAGAAAAATTCCCGTATCTATTCTTAATATCCATCCATGATCCACGGGAGTCACAGAACTCATTCGAAGAAGACATGTCTTCTTATCTCTTGCTCTATTGTTAGCTTTTCGTTCTCTCTCCCTCTCTCTCTTCTGGATCAAAAGATGAAAGAAAGGAACCAATGCAATTAGCGATGAGTTTCGCTCTCATTTCGATTTGATTTGATTTGATGCATTAGGTGATACACTCTCTCTTCCTCTTCCTCACTCTCTGATACTCCCACTACACACCCACTCACTTTCATCATCATCTCTCCATCACCACTGTTTTACCAAGATACAATTTTGTTACTATTTTAAAATATTAATTATAGTAACAAAACAGGAAACAAAAGAAATTTTACTCAACCTCTTATTCCAAATCTGCACAAGCCCGAAGAAACAATAAAAAAATAAAATAAAAAATAAAAAAAAAAATAAAAAAAAAATTCATTTTTGTTTCTTCTTGATCTAAAGTAAAGGTTTCGAATTATATCCTGATTTGTATCTCACCAAGGAAATCATCAGAAATATGTGTTCGCCTCTCTCGCCTCCCTCCCTCCTTCACCATCACTACACTTTTATTAGTACAGCTATAGTTATTGCTTCATTTCGCTTCATTTCGTTTTCACACTTGACTTAAAATGCGCTGAGTATCCTACAACACTCATCTACAAACTCAAATGCAAACCCAAACCCAAACCCAAACTCAAAGTCAAACTCAAAACTCAGACTCAGACTAAATATATCTAAAACTATCCCATTCTCATTATCGAATTCCACTTGATCTGTGATCTTTTTCGTTTTAATTGAATATTTTTTTTTTTGGTTTCTGCCTCTTCTTCTTCCCTCTCTCTGGTTTGAGAGTATACCATACCTACTTGACTTATAAATCAAAAAAACAAAAAAAAAAAAAATGTATTACATTAAATTAAAATTTGTATCTTGGAAATCTGGTTTGTCACTTTAATTGTAATTTATTTAATACTCGTCGTAATTTAATTCAAGAGAAAGACTTTTCTTTAATGGTTATTTTATTTAAATCTAACTAATGCTTTCTTTTGCAAAAAAAATTCTTCCTTGTTGGTAACTATTTATTTAAACTGTATATATCTCCTCCTCATCTCTTTTTTTTTTTCCTGAATTCAAACTCAGATACCCAGATACTTACACTTTTATATATATACATATATACCCTATTATATATATATACATTAACTGAGTTAGTACTGTCGAAAAAACAAAAAGTGGTATTATCAGATATATTAATATTCATTTTTACATCTTTCACTCCATTAATAATATATTATAAGGTTTCTTCCTCCAATACAAGTCCTTATATATATTTATATATATAATTACGTTGATTCAAAGTTAGATATCCTACTTTGTATCGTTAACAAGGCTAATTCTGTCGAGTGATTGAGTGTCTAACCATAATATATAATCTATTCTGGTTTTTATTTGTTTTTGGTTTACAACAAGTTTCTTTATTCTATTATCAAGAATAATCGAGAATAAATAATAACGATATTATTATTTTAACCAATCCACAAATTTCGCACAGTTTGCATCTACTTTTTTATTTTTCCTTTAATTTTATTTATTTTTCGAAACTTATAATACTTTCTAGATCAGTTAAAGTTATTATCTGATTATATATCTCTAAGTTTGGAAAATTAATCACACAAAAATTAATTGCAAGAATAAAAATATACATTTTGAACAAAAAAAATTAGATTTAAAGAAATAAGAAGACAATATTTTTTGAAATCATTTTGTTAAGATATTATACTACACTTTAGAGAATAAGAATAATCAAGTCGTTTCAAATACTTTCATCTGAAATAATTGATCAAAATCAAATCTCTATACCCTCTTCAATTCATTGATTATAGTGTTAGTATATCGATAGTATCAATACTTTTTATACAATTAAAGAAGAATCTTAATTCTTTTTTTTTTGTATTCTATTTTTTTTTGATCCACATTTCTTTTTTTTCTTTTTTCTTTTTGGTCCTGCCCAATTTTATTATAAAAGATAAAAATAAAGCATATTTCGAAACTTTTCTGATCAAAATACTACTATTATTAGATATAAAACAGTCTCTATTTTTGATTATTCGTTTTGGTTTAAAATATGTCATACAACAACAATAATATGGACAATATGGGTAATCCAGATGGTCATCCTCAAGATATGAACGGTATGGGTTATCCTCAAAATGATCAAGATTACCAAGGTCAAGCTTACGATGATTATGGTCAACCGATTTATCCTGATCAAATGCATCCTCAAGATGAATATTATGATCCAAATGCTATGAATGATCCATATTCCCAAAATCCAAATGGTCAAGGTTATTATCAACAACCTTACGAAAATCAAAATGCTGGTCAAGGCTATCCAGGCGATCAGTATTATGATCAACCTCAAATGCACCAAGATCCAGAAAATTTCTCAGATTTTAGTTCATACGGTCCTCCAGCTACTCCAGGCTACGATAACTATGGTAACATGGGTCAATATACTCCATCACAAGTTAGTTATGGTGATCCAAACTCATCGGGCACTTCAACACCAATTTACGGTGGCATGAATTATGATCCAAATGCTATCGCAATGACTTTACCAAATGATCCATACCCTGCCTGGACAGCTGATAATCAATCTCCTGTCTCTATAGAACAAATCGAAGATGTCTTCATAGATTTAACAAATAGATTTGGTTTCCAAAGAGATTCCATGAGAAATATGTTCGATCATTTCATGACTCTATTAGATTCAAGATCTTCAAGAATGTCCCCAGACCAAGCTTTATTATCGTTACACTCTGATTATATCGGTGGTGATACTGCCAATTATAAAAAATGGTATTTTGCCGCTCAATTAGATTTAGATGATGAAGTTGGTTTTAGAAATATGAACTTGAGTAAAGTTAAAAAGAAGAGAAGATTAATGAGAAAGAAAAATAAGAAGGCTCTGGAAGAGACAGCAGAAGACACAGAAGCTACTCTAAACCAATTAGAAGGTGACACCTCCTTAGAAGCTGCTGATTATAGGTGGAAGGCTAAAATGAATCAATTATCTCCTCTAGAAAGAGTTCGTCATATCGCTTTGTACTTACTATGTTGGGGTGAAGCTAATCAAGTTAGATTCACTTCAGAATGTTTGTGTTTCATCTATAAGTGTGCTTTAGACTATTTGGATTCCCCATTATGTCAGCAACGTACTGAGCCAATGCCAGAGGGTGATTACTTAAACAGAATTATCACTCCATTATACCGTTTCTTAAGAAATCAAGTATACGAGATCGTTGACAACCGTTATGTAAAGCGTGAAAAGGATCACAACAAAATTATTGGTTACGATGATGTTAACCAATTATTCTGGTACCCTGAAGGTATCTCTAAGATCGTTTTAGAAGATTCAACTAAGTTAATCGAAATTCCAATCGAAGAACGTTATTTGAGATTAGGTGATGTTACTTGGGATGACGTTTTCTTCAAGACTTTCAAAGAAACTAGATCCTGGTTACACATGGTAACAAACTTTAACAGAATTTGGATTATCCATGCTACCGTCTATTGGATGTATACCGCTTACAACGCTCCTTCTTTCTATACTAAGAATTATCAACAATTAGTGGACAACCAACCTTTAGCTGCTTATAGATGGGCAAGTGCTGCTTTAGGTGGTACTTTGGCTTGTGCTCTACAAATTGCTGCAACCGTCTGTGAATGGCTATTTGTTCCAAGAAACTGGGCCGGTGCTCAACATCTATCTCGTCGTTTTTGGTTTTTGTGTGGTTGTTTAGGTGTAAACTTAGGTCCATTGATTTTCGTATTTGCTTACGATAAAGATTACGTTTATTCTACAGCTGCTCATGCTGTCGCTGCCGTTACTTTCTTCATCGCTGTTGGTACCTTGATATTCTTTTCCATCATGCCATTAGGTGGGCTATTCACTTCATACATGAATAAGACTTCCAGACGTTACGTTGCCTCTCAAACCTTTACCGCAAACTTTGCTCCATTGCACGGTATCGATATGTGGTTATCTTACTTGGTTTGGGTTACTGTTTTCGCTGCTAAATTCTCCGAATCTTATTTCTTCTTGACTCTATCTTTAAGAGATCCAATTAGAATTTTATCTACCACAACAATGAGATGTACCGGTGAATTCTGGTGGGGTGATGTCATGTGTAAGCAACAACCAAAGATTGTTTTAGGTTTAATGATTGCTACCGATTTCTTATTATTCTTCTTAGATACCTACTTATGGTATGTTTTGGTCAACGTTATCTTCTCTGTCGGTAAGTCCTTCTACATGGGTATTTCTATTTTGACACCTTGGAGAAACATCTTTACTAGATTACCAAAGAGAATTTATTCTAAGATTTTGGCTACTACTGATATGGAAATCAAATACAAACCAAAGGTTTTGATCTCTCAAGTCTGGAATGCTATTGTTATCTCTATGTACAGAGAACACTTGTTAGCTATTGATCATGTTCAAAAGTTGTTATATCATCAAGTTCCATCTGAAATTGAAGGTAAGAGAACTTTAAGAGCTCCAACTTTCTTTGTTTCACAAGATGACAACAATTTTGAAACTGAATTTTTCCCAAGAAATTCCGAAGCTGAACGTCGTATTTCCTTCTTTGCTCAATCATTGGCTACTCCTATCCCAGAACCATTGCCAGTTGACAACATGCCAACATTTACTGTCTTAACTCCTCATTATGCTGAAAGAATTCTATTGTCTCTTAGAGAAATTATTCGTGAAGATGATCAATTTTCAAGAGTTACTCTATTAGAATACTTGAAACAATTGCACCCAGTTGAATGGGAATGTTTTGTTAAGGATACCAAAATTTTAGCTGAAGAAACTGCTGCTTACGACGGCAATGATGAAGACCCTGAAAAAGCAAATGCATTGAAATCCCAAATCGATGACTTGCCTTTCTATTGTATTGGTTTCAAATCCGCTGCTCCTGAATATACTTTACGTACTCGTATCTGGGCTTCTTTAAGATCCCAAACTTTGTATCGTACTGTTTCTGGTTTTATGAATTATTCAAGAGCTATTAAACTGTTATACCGTGTTGAAAATCCTGAGATTGTTCAAATGTTCGGTGGTAACGCTGAAGGTTTAGAAAGGGAATTGGAAAAAATGGCAAGAAGAAAGTTCAAGTTTTTGGTTTCTATGCAAAGATTGGCTAAGTTTAAACCACACGAATTGGAAAATGCTGAATTTTTGTTGAGAGCTTATCCTGATTTACAAATTGCGTACTTGGATGAAGAACCTCCTCTACAAGAAGGTGATGAACCAAGAATTTACTCTGCTTTAATTGATGGTCACTGTGAAATTTTGGAAAATGGCCGTAGACGTCCTAAATTCAGAGTTCAATTATCTGGTAATCCAATTTTAGGTGATGGTAAATCTGATAACCAAAATCATGCTTTGATTTTCTACAGAGGTGAATATATCCAATTGATTGATGCTAACCAAGATAACTATCTAGAAGAATGTTTGAAGATTAGATCTGTTTTGGCTGAATTTGAAGAATTAAGTGTTGAACAAATTAATCCATACGCTCCAGGTTTGAAATATGAAGAACAAAACAACAACCACCCAGTTGCTATTGTCGGTGCTAGAGAATATATTTTCTCCGAAAATTCTGGTGTTTTAGGTGATATTGCTGCTGGTAAGGAACAAACATTTGGTACTCTGTTTGCTCGTACGTTATCTCAAATTGGTGGTAAATTACATTATGGTCACCCTGATTTTGTTAATGGTTTATTCATGACAACAAGAGGTGGTGTTTCCAAGGCTCAAAAAGGTTTACATTTGAACGAAGATATTTACGCTGGTATGAATGCTATGTTACGTGGTGGTCGTATTAAGCACTGTGAATATTATCAATGTGGTAAAGGTAGAGATTTAGGTTTCGGTACAATTTTGAATTTCACAACTAAGATTGGTGCTGGTATGGGTGAACAAATGTTATCCCGTGAATATTACTACTTAGGTACACAATTACCAATTGACCGTTTCCTATCTTTCTACTATGCTCACCCTGGTTTCCATTTGAACAACTTGTTTATTCAATTGTCCTTACAATTATTTATGTTAACCCTTGTTAACTTAAATGCATTGGCTCACGAATCTATTCTATGTTTCTATAACAGAAATACTCCAATCACTGATGTTCTATATCCATGGGGTTGTTACAACTTCGCCCCTGCCATTGATTGGGTCAGACGTTATACTTTGTCCATCTTCATTGTGTTCTGGATTGCTTTTATTCCTATCGTTATCCAAGAATTGATTGAACGTGGTGTGTGGAAAGCTACTGTTAGATTCTTCCGTCATATCCTTTCTTTGTCTCCAATGTTTGAAGTTTTCGCCGGTCAAATATATTCTGCAGCATTATTAAGTGATTTAACTGTTGGTGGTGCTCGTTATATTTCAACTGGTCGTGGTTTCGCAACTGCTCGTATTCCATTTTCAATTTTATACTCTAGATTTGCTGGTTCAGCAATTTATATGGGTGCTAGATCATTGTTTATGTTATTATTCAGTACAATTGCTCATTGGCAGGCACCATTGTTATGGTTCTGGGCTTCCTTAAGTTCTTTAATGTTTTCTCCATTTGTCTTTAATCCTCATCAATTCTCTTGGGAAGATTTCTTCTTAGACTACAGAGATTTCATTAGATGGTTGACCAGAGGTAACAATAAGTACCACAGAAACTCTTGGATTGGTTATGTTAGAATGTCAAGATCTCGTGTTACTGGTTTCAAACGTAAGTTGATTGGAGATGAGTCTGAGAAGGCTGTTGGTGATGCCAGCAGAGCTCACAGAACCAATGTCATCATGGCTGAAATTTTCCCATGTGCTGTATATGCTGCTGGTTGTTTTGTTGCGTTCACATTTATCAATGCACAAACTGGTGTTAACCAAACTGATAATACTGATCCTACTGTAAACTCCTGTTTACGTATCATTATCTGTACTTTGGCTCCAATTGCTATTAACCTAGGTGTTCTATTCTTCTGTTTGGGTATGTCATGTTGTTCTGGTCCATTATTTGGTATGTGTTGTAAGAAGACTGGTTCTGTTATGGCTGGTATTGCTCACGGTGTTGCTGTGATTATCCATCTTGCTTTCTTCATTGTTATGTGGGTTTTCGAAGGTTTCAATTTTACAAGAGGTTTGCTAGGTACTATCACATGTATTCAATGTCAAAGATTGGTTTTCCAATGTATGACTGTTTTAATGTTGACTCGTGAATTCAAGAACGATCACTCCAACACTGCCTTCTGGACTGGTAAATGGTATGGTTCTGGTATGGGTATTTCTGCATGGACACAGCCAAGTAGAGAATTAACTGCTAAAGTCATTGAAATGTCAGAATTTGCAGCTGATTTCATTTTGGGTCATATTTTGTTATTCTGCCAATTACCAATCTTATGTATCCCACGTATTGACAGTTTCCACTCAATGATGTTATTTTGGTTGAAACCATCTCGTCAAATCCGCCCACCAATTTATTCATTGAAGCAAACCCGTCTGCGTAAGCGTATGGTTAAGAAATACATTAGTTTGTATTTCTGTGTTCTAGCTGGTTTTGCTGCCTGTATTATTGGCCCAGCTGTCGCATCTAGTCATGTTTCTGATAAATTAGGTAGTGGTTTAACCGGTGTAGCTCACAACTTATTCCAACCTAGAAATCAAAGCAACAATGACACTGGTCCAAGTTTCTCAACATTCAGCCGTGCATCAGATTATACATCCGCTCCAAAGTTGAAGACTTGGTCTACAATCAAATAGTCCTATCATGATTAATAAATTATTAAATTTACTTTTATTTTTATTCTTCAAGAGTACTCATTTTATTTCATACTTTATTGCACGGTTTGCCATAAAAAGGTTAGGTAATAGACTTGATAATTCTAACGTACTGGTTTACAAATTGGTCATTAGTGTAACTTTTAATTCTGTTCAGTATATAAGGTTCATGTATTTTAATATTTAAAGAAACGCACTATTATTTATGTTATCACATTTACAATTCTTACAACAAAAGTTAACTTCATAAAAGATACAGCATATTGCTATACTTATAAAATATTATGATAATGCATTAAACTATATACACAAATTATAAACTAGCATTGAATATTTGGTTTATAACTAACAAGATCAATGAAATAAGGGAATATTAGATAATTAAATCACGAGTAACTTCTGGTTGAAATGTACTATTGTTTTCTTGGACCCCAGTTAATCCCTAAAAAGCCTTTTGGTCTAACTATTCTATTAATTTTTGGCTTGATTAAGTAATATCTTTTTTCACCAGGAATATCAATATAAACACTAACAAAATCAGGTTGGTAACGTTTCTCTGATTCAACGGCTTCGATATGAACTAGCCCCATTTTTTGTTTTGATTCTACATGGAATCGCATTAGATAATGTTCTTTGCCATTTTTATCAATTCTTTTATTTGAAGCAATTGGTCTATTTCTGGTCCATTTATCATCTGCATATAATTCACCGTAAGCTTTTAAACGTTCTTTCTTATTATCAGTATCATCACATTGAAGTAGAGTCCTTACAATCTCATCTTTTTCGACTAGTGTTACAGCACGATTGAAAAGTTGAGTATCACCAGATGGTGAGAACAATTCAGTCAGAATCAAATAGATAACTACAGTTGAAATACCAGTGGCACCAATGACCAATGCACCGGATGCAGTAAATGTTGAGAATGATTTAATTCTTGTCCATAGAGGAATTTTTTTATCCTGATTGCCTTTCTTAGAATTAGCATTAGAATGAAAAGTCGAATAGTAAGTTTTATTAGTTGTACTTAATATTAGTGATCTTTGTAAAGCTGTTGAATATATTGGTTTAGCAATTACCTTTAAGCTAGTACCAAACTTTGGAGATCTTTTAAGAACTAAATTAATCATTATCAACTGGATAAATTTTTATCTGAAATGGCCAATACAAAAAAAATACGAAAAGTGAAGATAAAACAATTGTAAAACTTGCAATTAATAAGTAATCCTAACCACTTCTTGAAATATAATAATACTGGTTAAATGTATACATAGAGTAATAAGCTAGACAGTTAATTTATTACAGCAATTAATAATTGTAGATTTTAGGTAAATGGTTTTATTTTTCAAAACCTATTTTTAGTTTAATTTTTAATTTTTTTACTTTTTTAAAGGAAAAGGAAACCTTCAGAAAGAAGGGGAGAAAAGAAATAAATATTCATAAATATTACTGATAATGGTCAACAGCACAAAATAATTCAGGATGATTATTCGATGCCCGTTTAGTGCAATGGTTAGCATACATTTTTCCGGTGGATGTGATCCGGGTTCGAGTCCCGGGATGGGCTCAAAATTTAAAATCATATTTTTCAATTTTTGAATGAAGTAATCATAATGGTATTCTTGACGTTAAATTATGAACAAATAAGATAATATAGGATCACTAAGTTGTTTGAAGATTAATCTTATTGTTGAATTTATTTTTTTTTGCTTTTTATCTTGTTCCAATTTGTGTTTCTTCATCCTGTCATTTATGTAAAGCATAAATCAGTCTACAAAAAAAGGCCTATGAAGTTCTTTCCCCATATAAAATCAATAACAAGTGTATATAATAATTGATTATGGAAACCAATCTTCACAGTGAAACAGAAAAACTTGATGTGTACCCTGGCAGGGATAAGAAAAATAATATATATATATATATTAATTGTTAATTGTTAATTGTTAATTGTTAATTCTTACCCATGTAGAGAAAGAATATTTCTAAAACAAGTGAACTTAAAAGCAAAAACGACAAAGAAAACGAAAACAAAAATACAAATAAATGACAGTACAATCTGATACCAATATTGCTTGCAAGACAGAGATATAGGTATTTCGTAAACTGTAAGTGCCTGTTATTACCAGAATCAATATTTTAAAATAAGAATTGCGTAAGAGAGACAATAGCTACTGTACAAGATTAGTTAATTGTCCAAGGGAGAGAGAGACAAGCGAACAAAACAGAAATAGAAATAATAAGTGTAATTTAATTCTAATTTAGTCTTGTTATATCGAGTCCTATTCTCAACTGGGGATCGAATAATTACCACGTATCTTAACTTGTATAGTAATACTATTTTAACATTATCCAATCATTCTTTGTTCTATGATTAGTTAAAAATAAAGATAAAAATAAAAAAATAAAATAAAAAAACACAATATTAGTGGTAACCATCTGATCCCTGTTTTAATTAAGACTCTATTCGATCTGGTCAGTGTAAATGTGTTCTGTCCCAGAACAAGGTAGAACTAGAACCAGGGAGTGTACATTGGTTTTATGGAGAACTCTTCAACTAGTTTGACAGTATAAATCGAGTCGCTGAAATATAACCTATGGAAAGAACAATTTCAGAATAAAAGTAGTAACAAACACGTCTGAAGAGAATAGTATGGCATAGTTCAGTACACAACAAAATTGATGTATGTATGCCTCATTACCCTCAGTCAGATTGGAACGGCAGGTTAAGAGACAGTTAAGAAGTTTACGCTAAGTTCTAAATAGAGGAAAAGAAGTTCGAATACAAGAATAGTCTATGATTTCAAGTGACTGTTAAAAGTTTGGGTTTTTGTCAAAACACCCGAACACCCTCAAAGTTTGCTTTTCTGTTGACTTGTCGGATGGAAAAGCACGCATTTTGGAACCTTTGTTTGATTTTTTGCGTCAGAAAATGATGAGATGATAGAGGAGGATCATCGTAGGGCTGTTACTCTCGTCATTATTGCAATTGCAACTATAATTATTATCCATTGCTTGGATTCTCTCCTCTCTTGCTCTCTTTATACCATTTCCTCCAAGAAAAAGTCTTGTTCACCTACTGTCTTTCTGGCTTCGAGAGACATGTCTCTACAGCCAGGCTGGAAATAATGCCTTCGGCCGTTCGGGCTCTGGTGGGAAGCCAATAACTGTTCCTTCTAACTTCAGAAAGAAGTTGGAACAATTCATATCCAATCTCTGTCTAATGAACTAGTATTGTACTGTTAAGCTAGCCAACTCACTCCAAATCTCCCATTCCCACTCTCCCTGCCCAAAGCTCCCTCTCTGTATCTGAAAGGAAGTTAGCTTCATCCGTTGCTAAACTCTTCTTATCCTTCCACCATCGCCGTCTCTCTCTCTGTGTTTTTGCCGTTGTACTTCTCCCTCTTTCCCACGCCCATCGCACAACCGACTCACTCAATCACAACTTTTGAAACTTTTTTTTTCAGAAAATTTCACTCTCCCATACCAAACTGAAAGCTCATCACCAACCTTACTTTCAATAACATCTCTCCCTCTATCCTAGCAAAATTTAATACTATCCAAAGTATCTTGTTCACCAACACTAGCTAGCAATTGATGGATTGATATAGTATTATCGTTACTATTGTTCTGATATTCATTTTCTATCTACAATTGTTCTTACTTGGTAGGTTTGGTGCTACCTGCAAGCACCCAGTAGCCTAACTCAGGCAGACTGGTAATTATTGTATTCTCTCTCTCTTTCACCTTCTCTAACAATTCAATTTATCGTTTGCCTTGTCCTATTGATCGATCATGCTATTATGTTAGTTTATAACAATATATTTATATATATATTAACACGTTCTTGAAATCTTGATATTCTGCTTAGTTGAAAAAGAACCCAGCAAACCAAGGATATATAAAAATGGCTAAGCAATCTTTAGGTATGTTTAATAATATTTTATTTGTGGATGAATCCAAGAAATTTTTGAAACTGAAAGAAACTGGAAGAATGAATAATCTTTTTTAAAGCAAGAAATCATATTAGCACTATCAATTCATGGTCGATATTACGAAAATCAACCTTTTTAGATTTAAAATGTAAATTTTTGTCAAGTACCCAAATATTTATGTATAAAATTACCATGTTCAACAATATATTTAATGGTTTTAGTCAGTATGTGTTACTTGATTAAATACCTTTCTAAATGTGAAATAAGACTATGTGGATGAATGAATGATTCAAGTGCTTTAGTGGAGACTACAAAAGTAACTTTACAATTTAAATAGGACATTTTCAATCCAATCCATTCGTTGATGTTACGAGATGGAATACCTTGTAGATTAATAGGATTAACTATAAAGATTTATATTATCTTTTTTTTTTTTTTGTTTTATTTCAGTTTTCAAGAAGATTAATTACAGTATTTGATCAATATAACTAACAGTATTAATTGTATTTTTATTTGTTTTAGACGTCTCCTCTGATAGAAGAAAGGCCAGAAAGGCTTATTTCACTGCCCCATCCTCTGAACGTCGTGTTCTATTGTCAGCTCCATTATCTAAGGAATTGAGAGCTCAATACGGTATCAAGGCTTTACCAATCAGAAGAGATGATGAAGTCTTAGTTACCCGTGGTGCTAAGAAGGGTCAAGAAGGTAAGGTTTCTTCTGTTTACAGATTGAAATTTGCCATTCAAGTTGACAAGGTCACTAAGGACAAATCTAACGGTGCTTCAGTCCCAGTCAACGTCCACCCATCTAAGGTTGTCATCACCAAATTACACTTGGACAAGGACAGAAAAGCTTTGATCGAAAGAAAAGGTGGTAAATTAGAATAAATGGTTTATCCAAACAATAATTATATAATATAAATAATTTTTTATTTCTTTTAAATCACTTCATCTCATGTATTAATTACACCAACATTTGTACTACAAAATTCAATTGAGCACACTGATAAATGCTTAAGTAACAAGACTTGAACAAGTTTTACCAATGAATCTTTGGTTGCAAATGCAACAGCACCTGCAAGATGTACCATGATGGCCAAGACTAATATCCGTGCTTAATGTGAGAATGGCACTATGTTTAAACCAATGATCATGTGGTACTATCACTATTTTCCATCCTGTTAGTAATTCTATATCGTTGCTGATGGCTAGAACAGATTGGTGACAGTTGTGGATATAGTTCTTTACGTGCCTCTGTCACATTTATTGGACAAGATGGGATGGGATAGGATACCCTGCCTTCTTTGGTTGTTTCTTCTCCGATTGGATTGGATTCAGAGATGCATTAGGTATTAATTATTTCCAACCAGTCCAGTTCTACCCGTCTTCATCATCGTGAACCCATCCAATCCAATCCCATATCTCACATGGCCTTCCCCCCCGTTCCTCCACTCCCTGTCTCTCTCTCTCTCTGCTTATCCCACATATTAAAATAATCGAAAGGGGTGAAACCTCAATTGGAAGAGAAGAGCAAGAATAAAATCGGTCTGGTCTTGTCATTAACAGCAACCAAGTTCATTTTCTCATTTAAGGAGAACACAAGTAGTTGACTTGAATATCGATATCGATATCGATATCTATTGATTCATGCGTGTTAGTTGAGATGTGGAGGGAGGGGGTCGATACTTTATCAATCAATCCATCAATCAGTCAAGCAATCAATTAATCAGTAATCTGTATCTTAACTTAACTTATTGCTACTCATTATTTGTTTGTAATTATAGTAATTTGTTTGAGTTTTTCATTGGCTTTATATGGCTTGGAATATTTGTTTAGTAGTAGTCGAGCTTTTTCATTTGAACATTTAAGATTTTGATAAGGCCATTGCTATATTGTTATATTTCTTATTGCTCTTGTAGTGAGAGGGACTCAAAAAGTGAAAAGGAGTAAGCTATATCGAATTTTGGCACTGATAAATTAGTTATTTATATAAAACCATATTCAAGAAGATTATTTTAATACTCTTGACTCTAGTGATACGATTAATATTATAGGTACAACAGTCCAAACTATAAGTAGGGAAGACTCCATAGGACAATAGCTTTAAGAGTAGTCATTATATAATTAAAAAAGATGAGTATAAAAAGATTGGTATCAAATGATGAGGAACTGGTTAATGGTTTAGGTAGTGAACATTATACCGATGGTGCTACCGGTAATCATATGGCAAGAAAGGATACCAGATGGGTTACTACAGATGGGAAGTTAAATATTAATAGTATTTCAACTTTAAAACATGACGGTATCCATGATCCTATAGATTCACAAGAAAACACCTCCCCTGGCCAATTGTATTCAACTCAGTCTGGTAAATTGTTTCATGCTGGTAAAATTATGATTGTTTTAGTAGGTTTACCTGCTTCTTCCAAAACCTTGTTGTCTGTTGCGATTTCTCGTTATTCTCGATGGTTGGGTGTCAGAACTGAGTCATTTCATGCTTCTGAATATAGAAAGGATAAAGAACATATCCCCGATGATTATTATTCTGCTGTTCCACAGACACAGGAAGGTAGAGACTTTAAAACGAATATCATTGAATCTACTTATAACGCCATGGCAAATTTTTATCAAAATTTGAATGGTCAATTAGCAATTTATGACGCTTTGAACATACGAAGAAGTGATAGAAAAAATATTGAAACTGTATTCTCGAAATTAAATGTCAAGGTTTTATTTATTGAGTCGATTATTAATAACGAACAATTAATGAAACAGAATATAATGACAGCATCCCAGTCTTCAGAATTCCAAGGTTTAACGACAGAAGAGGCTACTGAAATCTATATGAAAAGATTATCAATTAACAAGCCCTTATATGAGGAAATGACAAAACAAGAAAAATTATGCTATGTCAAATATTATAACTTTGGAGAAAAAATTATCGTCAACAACAACCATGGTGGCTATTTAATTAACAAAATAGTCTACTTTTTGATGAATATTAGAAATAAAAAAGGTCGTGTATTTTTTGCACGTTGTGGTACAAGTAATGATGACAGATATATGGATGACGAATTTCTAAATGATGAAGGTTTAAGGTTTGCCAAGTCACTAACTAAATTGGTCATAGATAGATTTGAAAAGAATAAAAAAGAGAATATTGATAAGAATATTTCATCTAATGACAAGAATGAAGCTTTGACAGTATTAACCGCTCCCAGAAAAAGAGCATATGACACTGCAAAATATTTTAAAGATTATGATATCCCAGTCATAATTAGATCTGAATTGCAACAACAGAGACCAGGTCTTATTGCTGACATGAATGAAGAACAGATCAAAGAAAAGTTCCCTATGGAATATGAAGAATGTTTAAAAGATCCATATCATTTTAGATTCCCCAGAGCTGAATCATACCATGATTTATCAATTAGAATGGAACCATTATTGCTAGAGATGGAAAGATTAAGTGGTGATGTATTGATAGTGGGGCATGATAGTACTTTGAGAGTATTATATGGATATTTTATGGCTAGCAATTCAATGGAAGTACCAAAAATCGATTTTTCTAGAAACGAGTTAGTTGAAATTACATTCACACCATTCCAAAATGAAGTCACAAGAATTCCTATTGTATACTAAATTTGATTGTACTTAGTTATATAATTAAATTGGAAATATATATATATATATAATATAAGAGAACAGGAATTAATCATGTTGCACTCAAATAAATGTATATGTAGAATAAATATTCGTTATTTCATTAAATTATTATTGATTACATATATTAATACTACTTTAAAATGATAATGAATTAAAATTATTTTAAATTGAATTAGATGTGATTACATTAAATTAAATTGGGCCAAATTTTAAAGGAAATCAATATTATTAATTATATTAGTACAAATTAGAAGGATGATAATGAATCCTAGATTCCCCTTAGAATGAATTAAAGTATTACAACTATTATTATTATTATTATTATTATTATTATTATTATTACTATTATTGTTGTTGTTGTTATGATTAATATTTAACTTAACGTAACTATGCAATTTTTTGAATCCTATTTTGTGCTTCGGCAGCCATTAATAGGTCATGTCTTGTAATTATATTTGGCTTAGTACTTTCATATGTACCTCTACCAACAAAATAGATTCTGGATATTGGAATTTTTGGTATCTTTGATAAGACTTTATTTGTAATATTTGGCACACTTGCTCTTCTCCTGGTTAAAAATCCAGATGATGCTGAAGAAGATGATGATAATAACGAGCTCGATGTATCTGAAGGGATATCTGATGTGGAATTTCTTCGAGTGAAATTATAACTTGATTGCATTTTGTTAAAGATAATAAAAATATATTATATAATTTGTTTGGTTTGTGAGTTGACTTATGAAAATTGGTATGTTGGTATTACTGGAAACATATTAACTAATATGGAAATTAATTTTGTTTAATAATAAATCAATAATTTTTGAAAGTAACATGGAAACCAACCAGCTATATTTATATAAAATTAATGAAACTATATATCTCAAAAATTACAGGGACAGTTCCTAAAAGGACGATATTTTAATGAAATATCACCAAGGATATCTGCATTGCTATGCGATAATGTAAATTAAATTTAAAATTGCTTAACCCTAATTTACATTATAGACTGTAAATGGCATTAGAATTTCGGATATAAATCACTGACACTAAAAGGATCAAAAGAGAATAGTAATTACAGGGATAACAAGATATATCTGAATATGACAGGTATGCACACACAACTCCATAGATGTAACATTAACCTTTAAAGTGTTACTAAACGATTTATAATGAGTGAAACTGTAGATATTATGAAATTGTACATATGAAATTAGTAAATAACCTTAAAATCGAGAAAAGAAATAGGGATATGGATATGGATGTGAAGCAAGAGATGAGAAATAAAAGTTTCAAAAATTAGACATAGATAGATAGAATAACTGTAAATTAAAACGCTCAAACTCAAAGCATCGAATAGTGTTTCTTTTGAATTGTTTTAAGGTACTAGGATTATTAATATAAAGTTCCGACCATAGTCTTGGACTTGATCTAGAACTGGAACTTAAAACCTCTTAAATTCGATTATAATGCAAAGAAATACTAGTAGAGGGAGAGGAGGGGGGAGGTGTTAAAGCCCAAACTGATAACAAACAATGCCAAAGACAACTACAAGAACGACCAAACGAACGACAAGTTATTTTCGATAATGCTTAGGATAGATCATAAACACCGATGCCAAGAATAATTCAATGTAGTCTCTAAAGCTTGTGAAGTTAATAAGCTTTACAGCTTTCTTTCCGTTGATTGATTACAAATCGCTGAATAAAATTGGCAACCAAGTACATTCTACGTATCACTTTTAACAAGACTGATTGCTGATTACTGATTGATTATTGATGATCGAGAAGATAGCTCACAAGACAGTATAAGACAAGAAGGAATCGATACTTGGAATAAGGAGTTGTCTTTTCTGTCACCTACCCCTTGCGATATAAAACAGGAATGTAACGAAATGTAAAAAAATATCTTACAGATGATTCTAATGCTTATTCGAAGAATAAACTGGTGAAAACTTTAATTAATTCTCTTGCGAAGGAATAGTTATGTTCAGCCATACGATGGTATGGCTGAACTTGGATATAGCTTATATTTCATGACATTGCTTCACAACAGGTAGTGTTTGTTATATGTTATGCAGTAATTAAAAGTAAGAAATGCAAAAAAAAAACAGCCTTACATAACAATACTCCTTAATGTAGTTGTCGAAAGGAGTGTGGGTTAGACTAGAAGGTTTCAATTCTTGGTGTGAGCATTTTGTATATACTTTGTAATAGAATGAATAGTCAAAGGCATTATATTCTCTTCTATTCTATTGTAGTGTTTTTCTTGTACCCTACCCCTCATGCAGAAGTGGTTTTTCTTGTTATCAAAGCTACAAGTGCATTTTAATGCTGATGGTTGATGAGATAAGACTGTTATGAAACTTCAGTGAGTGGATTTGTTTCAAGTTTGGAATATCAGAACCTTATACTGCTCACTATGATTTAATGATTGAAAAATCCATTTTTTGATTCTTTTTGAGGTCAAGGAAGAAGGGGGACAGTGTCGGTTGTTTGCGCTGATTAAACGGTAATATACGGCTGAACTCGATTCAGTTCCTGGGGTATGTCTTGAATTTTTTGCCGATGCGTTAATATTTTATCTTTGTAATTATATCTTAAAATTGTCTCTGAGTTAAATAATTGATATGTAGAATTTGTAAAATTTGTATAATGTTGCATCTTTCTTGGAAAAGTTGATGTTCTTAAACTGCAGAAGTGGGTATTCTTGTGAGGTAAATGTTGTGTTGTCGGTTTTTGTTTATTTTTGTTATTTGAGATAATTACTAATAACATCTTGTTTGTAATATATGGGAGGAGCGGATGGGAAAGATGAAACATGACCAGGTCATGTGAATATCATGTGATTGGTATCGGTAACGAATATGCATGATCACGTGTGTTTGTCTATTAACTATACGTTTCTAAATATATAATATGAATCTATGAGTTATATGCAATAGAGCCGTTGCTGTTATTGTTGTTCTTACCATTATTGTTGGCAATATTATTATCATTACTTTTATTTTTGTTACTACTGTTATTATGTTACCGTCTCAATCCATTGTCAGTGATACTGGGAGTATATCAATAGCAATATGTTAATCTGTGCAAAATTCCACTATTGGTTTTTATTCATTTTGGTCTTATCCTTGACATCGCTCTTGCTTTTATTAGCAATCGGTTCAACTCTAGCTAAATACATTTCGTATTCTTCCTTTAAAGTGATAGGTGCGAGATTACATGAGTCTTTCATATATAACATTTTACAAATCCCCAACTGTAATACCCATTCCAATATCCCAATCTCTCTTAATATTCCAACAATGAAAAAATATGATGATCCTGATACCAGTCCAATTGAAAATCCGACTAATACTTGTTCTAACGTATGATATTTTAAATACACTCGAGAAAAACATACCATAAATGCCAATGTCCCCATAGTAATTATACCTGCCATTCTTTTAACTTGATTTAATCCCTTCCATCTTAAAGCAAACCTTAAACTAGTATATACGAAGAAGAACCCCATAAATTGCGAGTGTGCACTTGGCATACCATACCCTGATCTCATGGTACCATTTTGAAATGTTTCTCCAAATGAATACGGTCTAGGCTGTTTAATTATATTTTTTATGATATTGTTAAATATTTCGTTAGCTACTTGTCCTCCTGCAATGATACAAGCTTCCATTTCTCTAGTGGTAATAAACCATGATAAGTAAAATACCAATACACCTACTGGTAATAATGAGAAATATGCACTTATAAATGAAATTGGATCTCTGGCATCGTACAATATATAGGTATCATCAAAGGGGATTAGATATGGGTTGTCGATGACTGATACATTCATGATGCAAATTGATAAATTAATGCTATTCTATAACTTAAAATTTGTAAAAAAAAAAACTCAGTAAGATCTCTTTTTAAACACAGAAAAATTTATCAATTAAACAAGATTACCACTAGAAAATGTAACTTCTCATTAATTTGTCCTCAGGGTTACCTCAACATCAAGAAACATTACAAAAGATATAGTCAAGCATCTGTATATTTAAAGTTCTTATCCTTATTGTTCAGATTTTTTTATTTTATTTTTAAATTTTAAATTTTAACAAGATTAAAAGCTTAATTAGCCAAAAAAATGAAAACCGATGAGTGAAGCTGACTAGGGTTCTATTGTGGGATATCAAGAAAATTTAAGTTGTTAGTATAAATATTTACGGAATAGCCTCCTAGAACCTCCATATAAGTAGCACAACAGAAAACATTGATGTTCAATTGGTTCAGGATTTAATAATGTATATACAGATGAAGTCATTGATAGAATGTCTAATGTTGAAAAATCCATAAGCTGGAAAAAAAAAAAAAAAAAAAAAGAACAAAGAGAGGGAAAAAAAAAAATGAAAGACAGAAAACATATAAGTGCTAAAATAATTAAAATAAAGTATTAAATGAAAAAATGCAGAGGATGGCTAAGATACTAATTATAAAAATAGTGTCTTAACCTTTAAAAAAGAGAAGTTAGGAGGATAAAAAAAAAATAGAAAAAATAATCAAAATGATGACAAAACAAAAAAGAGGAAAGGGCAGTAAGGAAAATAAAATGAAGATGGAGATGAAAATGATAATAAGAAAAATAATTCTATAAGACATGGAGAAATGTTTAGTTTCTTATCTTGTTTAGTTGATCTTGAGAGGAAAAAAAAGGTTACAGTAATTGAAAACAATTTACTCTTCAATAGGATAATTGAAGTTTTTGTTGTTCTCTTGCCCATCTTGCGGTATCTTTAGTCGATTGACTAAATGTTTTATTTGTTCTAGTCTTTTTAACGAACTCAGTAACCCAATCTTGAGTAAAGAATTGCTTGATAGAACCATCTGGATACATGGATGAGATGTCACCAATTAAACCAACAGCAGATCTGGCTGTAGAGTCATGACCTGCTAATTGCGGTTCTTCAGCTACCTTAGCCAAGAATTGGAAGATTGTACCAACAAATGGGTACAGAGATTGTTGGTCGCTATGTAGGCCAGCAACAATACCCACGTAGGCATCTAAAACAGACTCTAAAATCTTCATATGATAATCTAAAGCTTCTAAAGTACCGTTTTCTGGTTCGCTGTTTTGTGCTGTTACACATAGAGTCATAACCTCATTCAAATATGGAACAAAATCAGTACCGATATTAGCTGCAATATCACCAAACACACTTAAGACTGCAGGTTGTAAGTCCTTTCTAGCATTTGTGGAAGAAATCATTTGCCCCAATACATTCATAAATGCGGAGGCATATTTTTTGAAATCTTCTTCTAGTGAATTGGAAATATCAGAAATAAATCCAACTGCAGTGATTGATACTTGTGAATCGACTTGGTTTAACGCATTGACTAGATATGGTGAGAAAGTTTCCAAATACTTTTCGAAATTCTTACCTAATGAAGATGCCAACGCAGAAATTGCATAAAATACATCATCATCGATATACGAAGAATCTTTCTTGTCTAACAATTTTAAGAATAGATCCATTAGCATATCTGATACTGATTCAACACTTGATGGACTTTTTCTAATTACAGCAGCCAATACAGTTAAGATGCTTGATTGAAGTTCTTGTAAACTTTGTTTATCTTCCAAACTTAATTGCTCTTCATTTACATTCATTGTTTGTCCTAATTTATCCATAATAAAAGTTGAGATAGAAGCAGAAACTTCTGCTACAGAATCAGTAGCATATTCTACCATAGTGGCTAAAGCTGAGAATGCAGAAGTACGGGCGTTATTTTCATTGTCAGTTGCGTTTGCAGCATTAATTAAAGCATAAACTAATACTTGGTAGTAATTGTAAATTGGAGATGGTTGTAGGTCTGCCAATTGCTCAACAAGATTAATAATAGTCCATGAACAATTTGCTGCAACTTTAGAATGGTCGCTTAAACCGACTAAACATGCTTCAATGACACCTGGTAAATGAGCTTGAGAATCAATTGATTCAATTACTAAGTCAGCAATTCTACCAATACACCATGCGGCAGTTTCCTTAACAGGTAATGCCTTATCACTAGTTAAAGTCAAAATAGCAGGTAAAGCTTGATGAACGTAATAGATTCTTTGTTCTCTGTCAGGACCATCTAAAATGGAACCAAAAGCCATCACAGCTGCTTCACGGTATCTCCAATCATTATTTGTTATGTTTTGTTCGACAAATTCTAGAACAGGTTCTAAGACGTAATTTCCACAGTTTTGAGCAAACAATTGTAAACAGGCACCAGCTGACATTGAAACATTCCAATCGTCATCATCTGGGTCTTCGTTTTGTCTGGTTAATAATAACAACAAGTTTGGAACCACTTCCTTCAAAGAGGTCAAAGCAAAGTTAAAGCTTTGGAAAGGAGATTCAGGGAATTGAGATAATTCATAAGCAATATCAATTTCTTCTTCACAAATTGTGGACCAGAATTCTACAGCCATTGAAGCGACTTTATCATTGGTCGATTTCATTGTTGATAAGGTTAAAGCGTATAGAGCCTGTTCCATATAATGTTTCATGTAAGCATAGTACTGAGACATTATTTTACATAAACAACCGAAAGCAGCAGCTTGGATGTCAGTGTCATCACTTTGGGTGGCTTCACAAACAACCTGCATCAAATAATTTCTCTCACCTTCTCTATCCATATTGTTTTTGATAAAAGTTAAAGAATCTGCCAAAGCATTCAAAGCGGTTAATCTAACGATTTTTGAAGGTTCTGAAGCTTGAGCACCTTGAGCAATAGAGATTAAAATATCATTTGAGTTTGAAACTAATACAGAACTATTTGGATCTGCTGATTCGCAAATATAACCCAAAGTCAATAGGAAGGCTCTTTTGACGTTTTCAGGTTTATTAGGGTTTGTGTTTTCCACCATAATTTTCAACAAGTCTGGCCATTCACCTACAGGTAGTTCGATATCCGCTATAGCAGCTATTAGTTGGGCTATTGCTGAAGAGACACGGGATTCATTTGTGAATAGTGAGTTTATTATGACTGATTTGATTTGTGATCTTGTATTTGAATCGATAATGGTTAGCCAACGTTGCTTGAATTGTTGATTTTTAATTGAATCTTTTGAAGACAATTCGTTCTTAAAATTTAATGCTGATAAAATTTTTGATTCTACTTTAATATTTGTGTCTTCATCTATTAAAATTTGTGAGGATAATTGAGCAAAAGTTAAAAAATCATCATTTGATAATTTTTTTAATTGAGTCTCACTTTGAATTCTTATATTTTGATCAGGATTTAAAATAGAGTTTTCTAATAATTGAGAGAATTCTACCACAGACATTATTATATTATTATTGTTATTAAAAATAGATAAAATAATTTTTTTTTTCTTTCTTCTTTTTGAATATAGTTTGTTAAACCGCTATCACTTTAGGATTAAAATTGAAATTAAAATACAATTAAATTCAATGGGAATGTATTACAAAAACTGTGGTTTAAAAGGGTATCACAATAAACAGTTTTTAACGTTTTCCTATTTTTCGAGTATGATGTTCCAAATACGAGTATATATAGGTGTATGTGTATTAGGTGTGCACCTGTACTCGTGTTTAGAATAATCCCTTTAAATTTATATTAACAAAGTGTAAAGACCCACTACTCGATGAGTTAGGTTCTGTATATATATATATATTATATTCCTTTTAAAAAAAAAACCTTGTTAGTCTGAATGAAAGATATGAATTGAAATGATGAATTTCAAATATAATCCCAATAAACAGTTGAAGTGGTGTAGATAAAGTTGACTATGAACGGATTGTGATGAGTGGATGCGGATGTTAATTGCTGATAGAACCATAAAAGCAACTTGTAGTTTTAAAGGAAAAACTTTTTAGAGAAGTTTAAAGAACAATTTGGAATTTAAAGATTTTGATATTTTTTTTTCGTTTGTAATCGTGTCATTGTTTACGTTCCCCGTTATATGTGATGTATTTCCGATCTTAAATAATACTTAGATACCTACACAGATACTTGCAAGGACATATCATATATATAACCTATATAGTCCATTCCAGTTCATAAGACCATAAAGTCATTGATTCAGCATACACAAGAACACATGGCATAGTATACATAGCATTTATATACACATAATAAAATAAGTTGGACAGATATTATTAAATTAAACTGAATTAAACTAAAATAAATTAAAATAATATAAATTAAGTCATATTATCTATTGCTCAGCTGAAGTATAGTGTCATGATAAATTGTAATTGTCTTAAAAAGGATAAGATCAATTGTATTTGGCAATCAAAGAGTCTACCAACTCGATGTATTCCTTTTCAGCTTCTTCAGAAGGCTTACCCTTTAATTTTTCCCAAGCATCCCATTTGGCTCTATCCTTTAATGCAAAAATACCAGGTCTTGATGGGTTTGTATTGTCACCAACTGTAGCTTGTTTGTATAGACCATATAGCTCTAGCATTTCAGCTTGAGCTGGTTGGGTTGGTAATTCATTGACTTGTTTAGCCTTTTCTTCAAATAGTTGAGAGACCATTTTGTGTTCGATTCGATTAGATTGGATTGGATCAGATTCGGTGTAATGATAATGTAATATAATGTAATCCAGTATCTTGAATGATTCAGGGTATAGGTATATATATATATATATATATAAAAACTTGTGTGTGTGAATGATTGATCTTTGTGTGATCTGATCGATTGATTAAATTCGAAACTATTAATTTGGCTTGTTGGGCATATGTCTGAGAATAAAACAAGCAAAGAAAGATACAAGAAGGGAAATTGGTTGGGATGGATGGAATAGGTTGGGTGGGTTAATATTTTACTTGATTTGTTAGGTGGGCCATTTTATGGGATGTTTTTTTCTTCCTTCCCAATAAAAAAGATATCTTATTTCCCTCCCTTTTTCTACAACCAAACGGTATCTAAAGGAACTATACTAACCTTGGTTTAACGTATGTGAGAGTTTTACGCTATACTAATAACTTATCTTGCACAGAGTATCACAGACCGCTAGTGACAGAACAGATACTGGCAGTGAAACAGAGGAAATTAATACCAACAGTTTCTCACTCTTGCTTTCACATACCAATATCCTTGATACATGCACTCACATATCTAGTAGTTAGAGTCTAGCATCAGCAGACTGTATAAGAGAGAGACTACTATGAATGTGTGTGTTACTAGAGGTTTACGGTCTTTTTCCATTGCTAAGTAAAGGAATTGTAGCTGTGTACTGTACTATTGGATAAAACTCCTGTTAATAGTGATTACTGTGAGTGGATGGCACTGAGTAAAGGATATAAGTGTGCAACCAGAATAGAAAGCAGTGTTCTGTTGGTGTAGGTCAGTGTTACTGTTGTGAATACGTTCGAAAAGACTGAAAAAATTGAAAAGCTATAGTTGGGTCTAGGACAGAGATTGAGAGAGAGAGAGAAAGAGAATATAGTATTGTATGATCCACGGAATCACATGTTCATGTTCATGTTCATGTTCATGTTCGAACTGTTGGGAACTTACCAACAGCTTCTCTGGGTACGTATCTACGAAACCGGGTAAGTTTGCCCAAACGAGAAAGAGAAAGAGAGAAAAAGTTGTATAAATCCTACGTTCACTACAGATGTTGCCCACAGCTACAACAAGTACCACCACCGAGTTCCATTAAATCTTAACAAACTATCCCAACTCTGCCCTACCAATTAATCTAACTAATCGAAATCAATGGCTGAGTTCATATATATATATATATTGCATTGAATATATATCTTGTCACTGTTCAATTGATTTTAGAAGTGGCATATAGGTAAAAAAGAAAGCAAGCAAAGCTAAGCAAGCAAAGCAGAGTTGTGCCCAGAGCAATGTCACCTCTCTTAACGTAACAAGATTAACTCGTTTCTTGGTTGCCCAGCTGACTAATTAGCCAATTGACGGATACAGTGCGACGACATCCTGCATACCCTTACGCTCTCTCACTACAAACATCATCTCAAACGTTCTTGCTCACCATAGCTTTTATATTCAACCCTGCTGTCTTTCCTTTTCCTAAATCCTCTTACACTTCCACTTCCACCACCACCACCACCACCACCACTGAATAATTATTGGATTGGATTTCGAAACTATCTACATCTCTCTGCTCTCTACTCTTGTACCTCTAACCAATCTGATCTATACCTTTTACCATGCTATAGTTATACTGTTGTAGATTGCTATCATTATCATTTGTAGATATCGTCATTACCTGTAGTCTAACCCTCCTTCTGGTTCTTAAATCCTCTCTCTTTTCTGCTTTGATATTTTCTCTCTCTTCGAATGCTTATACTTACTAGCTGTTCTCTTCTATTCTATGCTGTTCTATGCTATTCAGTAAAATTAAAACATTTTATAATCTTTCCCATATTGTCGTATTGTATTCTACACTATTCTGCACTGTTCTATTCGACTTTAGATCACAATTACATTTACATTAAAATTTACAATTTATATATACAATTTATAGCATACTATAGCATACTAGACTGTTTTTCAAAAGGAGTTCTGAGGCAAAAGCTATTATTATCACTTAATTGAAAAGATAGTAAACGTATTTCAAGCAATACGTTTAGATTTTATATATATATATTTACATTTGTCTGATCAAACAGGTTTGTTCCATTGTATACATTCCAATTAAAAAGTTAACTATTTCACTCCCTTTTCTGTTCCCTCCCTTAATACGGATAATTTTTTCTTCTGGTTTTGATTAATCGAATATCCCAACCATACAAACACTTATACAACATTTTATATTCTATACCAATCAGCAATTAATATTATTTTCCCTGAAATGTCTCCATCAACAAGAAAAAGATCAACTAGTTTAAGTAACTCCCTCATAGATGATAATAGCAACAACTATTTAAAACCATTCCCATCATATTCAAACGAAAACTCAAATTTAAGTAGTACTACTATTAATAGCAATAACATCTCTTCAGGTACTGATCAATTGGAACCTGAACCTGTCAAAGATCATAGAAGAAAACGTTCTTCTTCCATAATATCCCATGTCGAACCTGAAACTTTCGAAGATGAAAATGATCAACAAATGTTACCAAATATGAATGCTACTTGGGTGGATCAAAGAGGTGCTTGGTTCATCCATATAGTAATCATCATACTATTGAAGATCTTCTATAACTTATTACCTGGTTTAAATAATTCATGGGCTTGGACCTTAACGAATTTAACCTATGTCATTGGTTCCTATGTAATGTTTCATATGATTAAAGGTACACCATTCGATTTCAACGGTGGTGCTTATGATAATTTAACTATGTGGGAACAGATTAATAATGAAACTTTATATACTCCTGCAAGAAAGTTTTTATTGTTAGTACCAATTGCATTGGTTCTATTAAGTACTCATTACGGTCATTACAGTTTAAACTTATTCATTTTAAACATTACTATTACTATATTAGCTGGTATCGTACCAAAATTACCATTAACTCATAGATTAAGAATTTCAATCCCAGGTATTACTGGTCGTGCTCAAATTAGTTAAGTAAATGAAGTTTCGATTGTTTTAAAAATGAAATTTTAACAAATAAACTAAATTAAACCACATTAAAATTTAAAAAACTTAAAAAAAAAATACGACTAATAATCATAATCATAATAATCATAACGATATTAATAATTTTAATAATATTAATCAGAGAAATTTTTTTTGTCTTTATTTGAATTAAGATTTGAAATTGAATAAAAGAAATTGATCAAGAATATAAAGCTGCTATTTTCAAAGGTAATAGTTACTATTTGGAATTTTAATTGATTGGATAGAAGAGTGTCTATCAGACTGACGAAATAGTATCACTAAGTGCGATTAAATTATTCTTTTTATTAAAAATTAAAATTAAAAGAAGTAATCATATAACTATATTTTTATTAATCAATAGATATATTTAATAATTATATATAATGCTGACTTTAATTGTAATAAAATTTTAAAACTAAAAATTAGAATTGTTTTAAACAATCATGTTTCTATATATTTGAACTTGATATATTTAATAAACCTCTCTATACGAATATGACATTTAACCTCATTTATCGTGTTTTGCCCTCTTATCTATAAACTATAATAAATATATATACTAAAAATAACACAATTTTTGGGCTTTTTCTATAAAAACAAAAATTATGCAAAAAATTCGACAACTGCAGGACTCGAACCTGCGCGGGCAGAGCCCAAAAGATTTCTAATCTTTCGCCTTAACCACTCGGCCAAGTTGCCATATAACTTTTTGTTTTGGAAGAAACAATTAAGTTGTTTTTGATAGACTAAAATTGACTCCAAATAATTTCCACGAAAAATTGCCAAACACATTTACACTTATTTGAGAAGCTCTTCACTAGTTAATCTTCTTTTGTTTTAATTTAATATATTTGTTACCGTGGTTTGACAAAAATTTTAAATTTGTTCCTAAATTTTCACTTTTTATAACTATAGCATGTAACAATTGCTTATAATGTGGTAACGTAAGAATAAAGTAACTAAGGATAAAGCAAAAATTAGTTCTTTTTGAGAAGCAATGAATTTCCTTTTATTTTATATTCGAAGTATCTTAAGTATCGATTAAACCGTAATAAAAAATGTGTCCTAAATTGTGCTGATTGTTAACACAAACGTCGATATTTCTTCCCATTAGATTTAAGAGGAGACTAACCTATTTTATACCACATTGAACATTGAAAAAAGATGAAATACTACATATTACTGCAAGGTTTGATACTGTTCTTCTCTAAAAATTTCTATTTTTTTGAATCATGAATAATAGCAGATAAATATATATGCATATATATTAATATATATATTTGGTGTCAGAGAATGACGAATAAAAATGTCTCTATTGAAGTCATTTGTTAACATCAGGATAGATATCGAACCTCCTTTGCTTAGTGACAGGAACACCTTGTCTGAACGTATCAATTTCATTCGGGTCTAGTTCTGCATAAATGATCTCTTCTCCTTCTCCAGCTTCAGCTATTATATCACCTCTTGGATTAACTACAAGTGAATGACCATAAGCTTTGTATGAACTATTGTTATCTCTTGCTGGAGAACATAGCATTGTATATATTTGATTATCAACAGCACGAGATCTAGCCAATAAATGCCAATGCATAGGGCCGGTGACTGTATTAAATGCACTTGGGTATATCATTGCGAAAGCGCCTTTACGAGCACTCAACATTGCAAGTTCAGGGAACCTCATGTCATAACAGATTCCAAGACCAATTTTACCAAATTTGGTGTCTAGAGTAGTAGCATTATCACCACTACTTAAAGTTTCGCTTTCTTTAAACGTAATACCATTTGGTATATCGACATCAAATAAATGTGCCTTTCTATGAGTTCCTATTAGTTTACCACGGTTATCAAAAACGATTGAAGTGTTATAAATTTTATCAGTGCTTGGATCTAATTCAGGTATAGAACCACCAATTAAATAAATATTAAATTTTGAAGCCAAATTTGATAAAAATTTAATGGACATAGAATCTGGTGTAATGATTTCTGAATATTCTCTAAATTTATCAACAGCATAAGGAGAATTAAAACATTCTGGCAAAACTACAATTTTGGTATCAGGTTGATCGATTAAAGCCTTTTCAATAAATTTTGCAGCTCTTTGCAAATTGGCAGATTTATCTGGTTTTGAACCTGCTAATTGAATAAGAGCAACTTTTAACTTTTGAGATAATATAGAAGACATGACTGGAATGTATTCTATTGATAGGTTAAGAAGGCGCAAAACAATGGGTTACTTTCTATAACATCTTCTCAATTGATGATCTGACAGAGTATAATATTGAAAATGAGCCTTTTAGTATAGTTTATTCATTTCGAAATGTACGTATAATTTGAATTTGAAATCGAAATCGAGATCGAGATCGAAATCGGATCAAGAAGGGAAAAAAGGAATCGAAACTACAAAAGGCAAGACATTGCTACTGTAAGAAGTGAGATGAATCAGACAATTTGTAATTTAACCTGAATGAAGTTGAATAATTATACGTTAATATCGATATTCCAACAAGTAAAAGTGTGTATAGTCTTGTATGTGTGTGGCTCCTGTAACGATTTATTTCAATAACCGAATGTCAAGTAACCTATTATCGTCATCATCATAGAAATATAGTATTATATGATGAATTATTCTAAATTTAGTTTCATTTACTTCTATATAGTTCGATTTATACGGATACAGATGGAGAATTTAGTTAAAACAAGACATTCAAACCCTTCGAACATCTCATATGTCCATATTTCCTTTTTATAACTGTAATTGAAACGACAATGATGCCCAGAGTTGCATGAATTAAAATTCAACCCACAATTTCTGTACAGTTTTGAGGCTCCTCTTGTCCTTACAAACTGAGTTTCAAGAAACTAACCACTATTTCAACCCAAACCAAACAGATAAGTTTGATGTTTGATTATTTAATGGTTTTATTCATTCCTTCCCATATACTGCAACATATTAATCTTATTATCAGATGTTCATCCAGTCAAGTCACTGCTGCAACGAACTAAACTATCCAACTGGATGCTGGATGGGAAGTGTCTAAAGAATGTTTTGTTGCTTATATGAAAAAAGATGTTTCAATTACATTCTTCTTAATGGATTTCAACGTGTTCGTAGTTTTCCTTTATTTCTTACAATTGTTATCACTTTAACCTTCTTCTCCCTCTCTCGAAACCAATGGGTTTCTTCTTGCTCTTCTTGTTGTTTGCTTAATTTTTGTCTTCCATTACTGAACAACCTGGTGGTCCAGTTGGTATCTATTTTTATTTCAAGTCTTTATCGTTGAGTTTCTTTCTAGTTTTTAACAACACAGTACTTTTCGACTAGTTCAATATATTTGGTTTGGGTTTATCAGTTGGGTTTAGTTGGATTTGGATTTGGATTTGAATTTGGACTTGGATTAAAATTACAATTGAAATTATTATTGCAGTTAGAATCAGGATCTAGATCTGGACATTTTCATACACATATATCTCTAGAGTTGGCTGGTGTGTTAATAGACTTTTCTTATTTGTACTAGTGGTTTGTTCCTTTGTGATCTTATTTATTTGTAGAAAGGGAACGAGCCCTTTGTTGTTGTGCCTTATTGATCAATTGTTCCTATTCAGTGGTTATTTTTGGCAATAGATTACTCCAAATACCTTTTTCTTTTACTTTGTCAAGTTTAGATATATTATTTGATTGATCAAATTCGATTAATTAAACACATATATATATATCTAAATATATGTATCTGTAAATATATTAGGAAAAAGGTTTATAATATCAAACTGTATGGGTTTGCTCTAGATTTCAGAATAAAACATAACAGCATTATCTCTATAAATTTGGAGTTTGTTTGCTCATTTACTTTGAAGTATTACTGGATTCTTTCTAGTATATATTAGAAATGTCACGTACAATTACTTTTGATATACCTTCTCACTACCAGTTGGTTGATCTAATTGGTGAAGGTGCCTATGGTACTGTATGTTCAGCAGTGCATAAGCCATCAGGAACAAAAGTTGCAATTAAAAAGATTCAACCTTTTGGTAAAACCATGTTTGTCACAAGGACGTTACGTGAATTGAAGTTATTAAAATATTTTCATAATCATGAAAATATTATTAGTATATTGGATAAAGTCAGACCAATATCAATTGATAACCTGAATGCTGTTTATATTGTGCAAGAACTAATGGAAACTGACTTGCAAAAAGTTATTGTTAATAACAATAGGAAGAACACACCTTTAAGTGATGATCATATTCAATATTTTACTTACCAAGTATTACGTGCTTTAAAATCAATTCATAGTGCAAAAGTGATACATAGAGATTTAAAACCATCAAATTTGCTTCTGAATTCAAATTGTGATTTAAAAATCTGTGATTTTGGGCTTTCAAGATGTTTAGCAAGTAGTAGTGATTCAAAGGAGACTTTGGTTGGATTCATGACAGAGTATGTTGCTACAAGATGGTATCGTGCACCAGAAATTATGTTAACTTTCCAAGAATATACTACGGCGATGGATATTTGGTCTTGCGGTTGTATACTGGCTGAAATGGTTTCAGGTAAACCTTTATTCCCTGGTAGAGATTACCATCATCAACTATGGTTAATATTAGAAGTATTGGGTACACCTTCATATGACGATTTTGAACAGATAAAATCTAAGCGTGCAAAAGAGTACATTGCAAATTTACCATTTAAATCAAGACTACCTTGGGAAATGGTATTAGGTAGAGAAAAGGATACATTAAATCCAGGTATTTTAGATTTATTAGAAAAAATGTTGACTTTTAATCCACATAAACGTATTAGTGCGGAGGATGCACTAAACCACCCTTATTTGGCAACCTATCATGATCCACAAGATGAACCTGTATACCAACCATTAAATTTAGAAGATGATGAATTTTGGAAAGTTGATAATCAATCAAAGGATCCGTCTTCTAATGAAGATGAAGAAAGTCTGCTTTCAATGGATAAATTAAAACAAATGTTATATGATGAGATATTAACTCCACTGTAGTGGTGTATTTTTGCTCTACCTCTTTCACAAAATATTCTATATTGCAAGCAATATTACAAATCAAACACATACTCGTAATTGCAATCACAACTACAATTATAATAATATAATCACAGCCACAACCATAATCATAATCAGAATAATAATCAGTAATAATAATAAAAAAAATAATAGTAACAGTAGTAGTACTAATACTAATACTAATACTAATACTAATACTAATACTAATACTAATACTAATACTAATACTAATACTAATACTAATACTAATACTAATACTAATACTAATACTAATACTAATAATACTAATAATAATAATAATAGTAATAATAATGATGACGACCCGGACCGACTTTTAAGTTTATATAGATACCAATAATTTAAATATACAAATATAGATAAATAATTAATAATACCTGCCACATATATATATGTCAGTAAGCATAACTTTCATCTAAAGAAAATCTTTAAGGCAATTTAATCAAATCTAATCGTATTTAAACAGCTTAAAAACGTTTACATCCATTATGATACCGACCAACTTATCAAATTACACAGTTACTGTCGTCAAATAAAACCCATATATTGTCTCTTTATCATCTATCTTTATATCTGTGACACTCTGGTTTTCAAAAATGTCATTGATTAAACATCGTTTAGAATTTCGGTTTCTTTAAATATTCCATCTAAAACTTTAAATCAGATAAAACACATAAATAAGGATACTTAAAGAATTAATACATAAAGAAAGGTTTAGTACACTTGAATAGCGTCAAGGAATTGTTAATATCTCGTTAGTGATTGTTAAATAGTGTTGTTGTTATTTGTCTGGGACTTTTCACCATATATAGCGGGATAATATTTAGCTCCTAATGGCTGTGATACCACCAGAGATCATTTATCAAATACTCACCTATCAATTTAGGGATTTTATGAGCAATGATTATCCTAATAGCCCAGAGAAGTATAATGAGAATTTAAAGACATTTTTAAGAAGCAATTTGACCGTTAATAAATGGTTTTATCATATCTGTAAAATTTTGGTATATCGTTACTGTAATTTCACTACTGCTAAAAGATTTAATAGTTTACTCAATACACTAAAAGAGCATACAGAGATACGGCATGTTGTAGAAGTTGCAGATTTCCAAGAGTTGACTTCAATTGGTCTTGGAAGAACTGGTGAAATGAATAAAATGATTAAAAATTTAACGAATGAAACTTTGTTGGAATTTTTAGAATTAACACAAACAAAATTGAGAGAATTTTTAGCTTGTGAACATATTCAAGATGATTTAGATGAAAATGTTATATATTTTCTTCTTAAACCTGGTACTCCATTAAGTGTATTAGATTTCTGTGGATGCTCGGGAAGTAAATTTACTGAAAGCTTTATTATTGCATTAGACAAACTGTATCATTCTGATGTGAATTTACAAATTGATGAGCCTATTAAAGAGAATTATCAAATTACATGTTTAGGTTTGAATGACTGTACAGATTTACCTCCTTATGTTGTTACAAGAACTTTAAAGATGTTACCGGAATTACAAAAATTAGATTTAACACACACTTCAATTGATGATGAAACTCTTTCCGCAATACCACATTTAAAAAATTTAACTCATATTTCCTTTGCGATGTGTTTGCAATTGACTCCAAGAGCAATACTAGAATTTTTTGCTCATCATCCAGCAATCTCTGATGTTGATAATACAACAACCTTAGAGTGGTTAAATTTAAGGGTTTCCCCACATACTTCATCTTGGACCGAAGTTCATACAATGTTTCTATTGAAAAAGTTGTGTCGTTATGGACATAATAAAACATTACAATATTTGAATATTGGTGGTATGCCATTACATGAAGATGAAGATTTATCCGTAATTCCAACAAAATATTATTATAAATGCAAAGACACTTTACAATTTATTAAATGTAATTTTCCAAAATTAAAAAGCTTGAGTATTAGGGATAATAATGTGTCGATTACAAGGTTATGTCAATTCCTAACTCCAGAAAATACTATACCAACTATCGATGTCAATGATAAATTTAAAAATTTGAATATAGATATGAACGAATTAGCATTTCAACCATGCACTCAAAGACTAAAATTCTTAAATGTCTCTAATAACACATATATCAACAAGTGGACTATACAAGATCCTGCTCTTTATACCTGTTCTCCATCTTTAGTAGCGATTGAAGTATCATTCGATGCTTGGAGAAATATTGAAAATATGAATGACAGACATGAATTGGTTGCTTATAGGTATAAAAACCCAAATTCCATTATTAAAGATATTAGTAAAGCCACGTTAGTCAAATGGAAATGTTATATTGATTCCTCTTATGGTAGAAGATACTGGCTATATAAGGTTGATCCTTATTTGAATAAAGAGGGTATTGATATGCACTCTAACATGACCAAATACGATTCACAAGGTAATAAGATAATTGAAATTATTAAGCATCCTGATTTTTTAAAGTTTGCCCAGACAAAGATTATGCTAGGTTGTGGTCTGGTTTCATTGAGTACAGTTAGAAGAAAACAATCCTATAGAGATTTCAAACCACCTATCTCTCAATTTTTGACTAGAAAAGGTGACGCTGCAACTAATACAAGTGCATCTCCAATTACTACGCCTAGATTACCACCAGGTGGTTGGAGATTGATGCACACTAATGAATCATCTGAAAGTTTATATTCACAAACTAATAGAACCGAGAATAATGGCACTAGTAGTGGTGGTGGTGATGATAGAGCCATGGAAATAGGAGGTCTTGAAATTCCTAGTTCAGTTGTCTCTACTAGCGGTGAGAATACGTTCCGAGCACTATACTGGGATAGATCTATACACGATCTTCATTCAATGGCTCTTAGATCGCGGTTAGAACCCATTGACAGAAGAGTTAATGAAGCAAGAGAGGAAGAACTATCATTACAAAACGATTATGAAGCAGAGCTTGAGGAAACCGATGATGATTATTTAAACAATCCTGACTTACAAAGAAGGAGATCACAATTAAGTTTGCTAAAATCGAGTTTCTCTCATTCTAATAATCTATCGTATTTGAACGGAACTTCAAACCAGAACACATCATATACATTAAACAAACATAAACCAAAGAACTATTATCAACTTCATCCAGAAGAATACATATATGACAAAGAGGATAGTGAGATAACACAAAGGTACAGATTACATTTTGATCAAATAAATGAATATCAAATATTTGGAACTATAGAACGTGGGATGTATCGTTATTATAGTCTAAAGACTTAACTACATTATCCGATCCGATCTACCACATTGATTGTATTTTTGTTTCCCATCTTTTAAAATTTAAATCACATAGTCCCTGAATTTATATATTTATATATTGTTGTATAAATTAATATGATATACAGATATAGATATATAAATATCATTATACCACGATATCTTCCTAGTTAGAACAAGAGCAAGGTATTAACAAACAGTTCTGAAGATTTATGACTATAAGATCTGTACAGCAACAATCACATCAACATATTCGATATGTAACGGACAGCACCTACAATTCAATTTAAACTTTCTTCTTTATTTGATCCAATCTTCCATATATTGTCCAATCATTGCTCCGGAAGCCATATATATGAACTCTTCGACTGACGCGAAACTTTTGAATTATTTAAAAATTAAAAAAATTAAAAACGCGAAACTAGATCGAATTTCGAATTTCGAATTTCGAGGGACACTTTGCCATAATAGAACTGTTAGGTGATCTCAGTTCAACTATTTTCGAAATGGACACCTAATTCAGTTGATGTAATGTTCTTTTATACTAATTGGTTTGGCTGACTTTTCTACGAGCGATCAGCCTTATTGGGATAATTTAATCCATATCTAAGTTCATCGATCTTTTATTCTAAATTAAACTCTCTATCTATCTTTCTATATATATATATATATATATAGTTGATCCGCTATATTTAGTACTGATATTAGGAGAAGTATGGCAAGGAATATATGGATTGTTTCATAGATTGATAGACAAGCAAGATAAAACTTTGAAAGTTGTAAATTTCGTTTTCATTGAATAGAATCACCCTTTTGAAGTATACATATTTGAAAAGTTTGTTCCACAAGCAAGCTTTGCATTTATATATATATATATAAATATATAACTATAAAGTTATACTTATTCAGTGGGTATTCTGGGTGAAAGGTAGTTAATAGCTTAGTGGATACCCAAAGATGGTTACCTCTGTAGATAGGCCATCAAATGGAAGAATTAGAAATTTTGATAAAGAAGACGATGAAGACGACGAAGATAATAATAATAATATTGTGTTTCCTGAAGACGACTATTCATGGGTAATTAATAATAGTAGAGTTTCTTCAATTCTATTAACCGATGAGACAATAGAAATTATTAATGCGTATTCTGGTGAGAGTGATAATGAAATTCATATTAAACCGACGACTACTGTGGAATCTCCATTACCTAAGAGCTCATCTTCTGGTACCTCTCCTGATTATAAACTAAAGAGTTTGAAATTTGATCGCAATAAAATGCCATTGCAAGCTTTTAACAATAGGAGGTCAAAAGATTCTTATGGTTCAACAAGGTCAAAAGATTCAAATAATTCAAATAAAAACGATCGAAATTCTGCTCATCAATCTCAAGGTACAGTTTCCACTTCGATGTTGCTCGATTTTAATGGTGATAATACTGGATTAGTGAGGACTAATCAGAGTCTTTCTAATAATCGAAGTATGAGTAGTGTAAATTCTTCAAGTATGGTAACCGCAAGATCTACACCTCCACAAAGACGGACGTCATCTTATTATCCACCCGTTGATCAATCCATTTCTTATATCAATAATCAAACACTTCCTAAACTCCCGACGAATTTCATGGACAATTCAAATTTTAATAGTTCTGGTAATTTATTAGAGATTAAAGGTGTTTCTGGATCATCCATTGAAGAGATAGATGAATACGAGATGGGATTAGAACCGGAACTTGAAGATGCAGTAGATGCTTTACGAAAGGAAATGGGTCTTCCAAAACCGGAAGAAGCTGTACCCAAAACATACTACTCGAATACTAGTAATGCAGCTAATTTTAATAGGGTAGGGCCAAATTTGGGATTCTACAGCGATAATTACGGTTTATTAAACGCTGAGCAAAACCAAACTCATGTTGATGATATACAAACTCAACAGTATTTCGGCCAACCTAAAGTAAATACTTTTGAGGGAACCCTAAAACATACTAGGCCACCGCCGATTTCTAATGTGCCATTGAAGAATAACATGCTTGATGGTGGTTGGAATGCAACTCCAGAGGTGGATATTTCTAAACTACCAGAAAATGTTAATGAATCAAGGAGACAGAAAGAGTATTCACACAAAGAGATAGAACATGAAAAATTGATGGAATTGCATGAACAATTTTCAGATTCACAGGTTGAGATGATGATTAAAACCATTGATGAATACAAAAAAGCTTCATCTGGTACAAATAAAGGGTATTTTGATAAAGATAAGAACCCGCATTCTAATACGATTCCAATTCAGCGTTTAGATTCTAATTCGGTATACTCATTCGATTCTCAAGGTAATGGATTTAGAGATATTTATAGTTTAGAAAGAATTGCATTACTTTTTTTATGTTGTACAATTGTACCAATATTGTACTTTATTATTGGGTTTGGTCCAAGGGGTGGACTGTCAGAATAATAATTGATGAGAATGGTTATGAATTCTCATCATAGGAAAAGCTTATTAAAGGAATTTTTTTGGGATATGATATGGAATGGTTAGGAAACCATGCCTCGGGTTAGAATACTTTAAACCATAATTATTTTGGTTTGGATTGGCGGAAGCTTCGAATTGGTAAAAATAAAAAATATTAATTTAGTTTTAACCTAGGACTTTATTTTTTAAAGGGTTTGAAAATTAACCCGGTACAAAAATTATAAACCACTCGTGTAAAAAGGGGGAAATGTATCCGCCAAATTGATTTGGGTGAACAAACAAGTTCATGGGCGGAATTTAAACACCCATAATGATTTGTGA